CAGTGACTTAATATTTTGGGCACCCCAAGAAAGCGTCACAGGGGGTAATTTTCTTTAAAAGGATGAGATGCAGGCTCTCCCTTTCTGTGTGTGTGGATTATGGCCACCAAATTTGAAGTTGCAGTTTTCAACCTGCAAATTAAATTACAAATCAGAGCACATGCCCCTCTACTTGGCTGATTTGCATCTGCAATTGAACTGCAATATGAAAATGTGCATGCCAATTTTGCTGGTGCAAATTGTGCCCAGGAAATCTGCAAAATATAATCTTGTCAGGATAAAACGAAAATTATGCTCCAAAAGAGTCCTAAAGACAAACAAAGAGTAATGTGGTCAAAAGGTTGCACACGAGCCTCTCACATCAGAAAATCTGGGTACAACATCTGACTTAAGTCATATTGTAGCTGAATGTGAGCTAGGCCACATCATAAAAGTACATCCGAATCTGGTATTGTCTGACAACATTAGCAGTCACCATTCTGAAAGGACCCAGAACTGAATTCACACAGATATTGGTGTTCAAGTGTGAGGTGCACAATGACACAGCCATATGGAAATGCTTGCCCAGAGCCTGCCCGCAATGAGCCTGATTCTTCTCTCGTCAAACACAAGAGCCTTGCCAAGAGAAGCAAGTCATTGCAAGGAAAAATCATCTCCAGGAACCAAACAGGTTGTTGTTAGTAATTTGTTTACTGCAGCCTCCCAGAAGATTTTAGGAAAACCTCCAAAGGAAACTGGTGTACGCATCCTTTATCTTTCCTTAAGAGTTGGTTCTACATCATCATCATCTTTCCATTGGCTCTGCAGAGTTAAAATAGACAAAGCACACTCCTCAGTGCAGAGACTGCTTCAAATATACAAACACTTTCTTGTACACTGTTTTCCAGTCATACTGTCATTATCTGCCTTCTAGCATTAGAAGTAAAGAGGTTTCTGCTGAGATAGATCCATAGTCTCCTCTTGATGTCTGGGGGATTTAGATAGGCAGATCCTATTAGCTACAATTAACATTGAAACACACCATTTATACCCAATGACATTTCTTTAGACATAATGTGAGTACACAGGTGTAAATTCAGAGTAACTCCACTGAAATGAATGGAGCTACTCCAAATGTATGTAGTGTAGCTGACGTCGAAATTTGGTCCATAACCTTTTTCTTTTACATTGCAGTCTACCAAACAGTGTTCCAAAATCTGCCCTGCCACTTACACTCTGTAACACCAAAGTCAATGGGATTGCATAAGCATGAGAGTAAAATCTAACCAAAAGAGCCAAGCTCTGCTCTCATTTACACCTTTATAAAATGTAATGTGATTCTGTTGAGCTAACTGGAAACTGGTTGTTCAGTGCTTTCGAAAGGCTACTTATTTGGGTGTCTAAATATGGACTTAATTTTGGCTACACAAGTGTGAATATTTTGGCCAGGGTTTCAAGACCAAATTGGATTTGGAACATGACTGATGAGAAACCAGAGCAGAAGGCTTTATTGTGGGTCAAATGTATGATACAGCAATTCCATTTTCAAAGACTGAGCTATGGCAATGAAATGTCATTTAGACACAAAGTAAACTCTTCTTTCCTAAATCCATTGGCTATTGCACAAAGGAAGCCTGGTAGATACATGCAAAATTGTTCCTGGGTTGCTTAGTTCTCGCAATAAATTGTGCAGTTAGAAAAGACAGCAAAATAGAAACTGAAGTTTTGAGTGGCTAAAAGATATTCCGTTTTAATTTACAGATTCTCTTTATATGCCAGTGTGCACCTGAAATAAACTTTCCTCTCTTTCAAGTTGTTACGACATACCTATCGGTGACAAATGATGCTCACTAAAAAAAATATAAAGTGCTTGCCCTTCTATAATTTGTTCTGTTGAGTTGATTGCAGGCAATGCTCACAGATGTGTGTTCCAGAAGAGAAAATGCTTCTGGTTTTGAAAAGAGTGTATGTAGATACAGTGCATGTATTTAGCACATCTTTTAGGTGTATAATTATATATAAGAGCAATAGATGTCTAAGATCACATATTTTATTAAGAGGCTTTTATCAGAAAAACATTTAAAATACCGACATTCAAATAAACAATATTAAAAAGACTGGACTAGCAATGCAACTCAAATGAAAAATAAAGACGAGGGGGCTGATTCTCCTGTCACGTTGGTGAAAATCAGGCATAAGTAGAGAGATTCTGGTTTTATACCAATGTAAGTGAAAGGAAAATCAGACCCAGTGTAGACACTGTATCAAATATGCATGGTAGTTATTCCTTGCAAGTGCAATAGCTTGTCATTTTCAAATTTTTATTCCACCCAATAAATCTAATAGAATAGAGAGGACAAAGTCCTGTTTTTGTATTGATTACACCAGTCATTCACTTTTCGAAAAGGAGACATTCTGTTCTCAGTAAAACAAGCTGGAAGTCAAAACTGGTTTGTACATGTGTGATTGAAACTGGCCCAATGTGTAAATTTAAAAAAAAAATCCATAGTCATGCAAACAGTACTCAAAAAAAGAACTGCACAGGAAAAAGGATTTTTTCCTATATGATTTTAATAAAAATAACTCTCAGGATTGGGCATTACCTAGCAGTTTAACTGCAGCCCTCAGCTTCTCTAGTCAGTTTCCAAATGCCAGAAAATGCCCTCCCTGTCAGACATTACGTTGGACCTAATTCTATCCTGACCTACGCCCTGTGCAGTCCTATTCACTTCAGCCTTACTCAACTCCAGTGGAGATACAGTATGTGATCCAGGGAAGAATTTGGTCCATAACATTAAGACATGACCAGTATTGAAATGGCTGGCCTATTTGATCGCTTGCACACTCCATAAAATTCCCAGATCTGCCTGTGGTTATAGCTGGTACCCAGCATCACCATCTTGACACCTGACATTTCAGAAAGGACTGAACCTGAAAGTAACTTCTGGGGAGGCTAATATTTTGTCATCTACTTAATGACATCCTTTCCAGCCATACTTCCTTCACCAGCAGTACCTCATTGGGTTAAGTCGTCTGGCCAATGGAGATCACAATCACTCAGGTTTTATTACAGCGGCTTGTACACCAGTTTAACTAGCCAAATAACCAATCTCCACATGCATACTTTCAAAAGCAGAAATGTTTTCTAACCCACCAAATAACCATACTAAGCTCAGCCAATAATAATGACAAATCATAATGACAAATCATTTTGAAAGGCGTTGTGATCATGGATTTTAATCTTTACCAGCCTGATCATACTGTCCCATAGCTCATCTCACTGCTCTTATAAGTGCGAGGTTAAAGACCTAAGTGCTGTTTATGGAAAAGTTGCCTATCTAAGATGCCTATGACAAATTTATCTTTAATATGTTCAGTCCTCTTTACTCTTTTCAAAGCACAAGAACCTGCTAGCTCATACAAATGCCTTCTAAATAATCCTGTTGTTTCTGGACCTATGCTTCCCTGGCAGAAATGTGCCCTCATGTGAATTTGTTCCATTTAGGGAGTGGGCATTTCAAATGCGCCTAAGGGAGTTAGGTTACCAACTTCCATTGACTTGTAAGTTAGCAACTCAGTTCCCTTTATGTCTTTTTGAAAATTCAATCCAAATAGCGATCGTTTTTCTCTGTTATGGCTTTATGCAATTCTTCCCCTCCATTAGGCTCTAATATCTCCCACACTATGTGAGGTTTTAGAGTAGCAGCCGTGTTAGTCTGTATTTGCAAAAAGAAAAGGAGTACTTGTGGCACCTTAGAGACTAACAAATTTATTTGAGCATAAGCTTTCGTGAGCTACAGCTCACTTCATCGGATGAAGATCTCAGAGCTTTTCTGCTGTGCTCAGCCTGCAGATGAATCCAACTCTTGCACACAACAGTCTGTATCGGAATAGATAACAATGAGCAGGAGTTCAATGTATTCATTCCATTAAAACAAAAATTATCTGCATGGGCCCAGAAAAGCAAAGTTTCAGCCCAGAGCAAATTTTTGCAGCTCTTCTATACTTTCCTAAACATTAAACTGTTGATTCACATTGAATTCTTAAGTACAGTTTATGGATGTGAGTGAATATATAAACAAGAGGGATGTTTCCTGCCCTGCAGTCAGTGGGCTCACTTGTGTCATTAGGTGCTTCTCCATGTTGCAGGCCATGCAGAGTTGAACCCAGTATTGTGCCAGGATGGCAAAATTTCCCCCCGGGAGTTCCCCTGCATGCAAGCGAAGTGCGCCTGCTGCTCTGCTCCTTCAGTGGTGCTGCATACTCACCACGGTATGTCCAACAAGCACTGTTGTCCTAGTGCACAGGAGAGCCGGGGCCATGGCCTCATCATCTCCCCATCCCCTTGGGGAGTCTTGCACCTCAGAAAACACATGGAGAAAAAAATCTCTGCATGCCTCAGGAGACTAGTGACAACAAATGTACCCAGCAACTGCGCAAAGACACAGGGAGGTAGCTTCTTTCTACAGTGGGCAGAGACAGGTGGGGGCCTGGCTGGGTGCCCTGGAATCTGACCAGGACACACCATAGGATCCATCTTCATCTTCGTGGATCTTCAAACAACCGCCCGTCACTTCTTTGGAGGCACATTTGGGACACAAAACCTAACTTCGGCCACTAGATTAAAGCAGCCTCCGTGGAGCGGCTCCTATAGCCTGGGGCTTAGTCCCTCACTGCTCTTAGGTCTGGGCGCTAGGTTCCTGGATTTGGCCGGTGTGATAGCATTTATGGGGTTATGAGGTCATGGACAGGAACTATGGTAAACCAAAGAATAATCCAGTTCATAACCAAGGTCAGTATTATCCTGGAAAACAGGGAGAAGCCTGGGAGAGACTATCCTAAACAGGAGAAACCTAGAAAAGCCAAAGGGAGTTTGTACACAAATAAGGATAGGGGAAAACGGCTATTACCAATACCTATAAAACTGAAACTGACCTTCTCTGTGATGCATTTAGGTCACTTGTTAAATGTATGGAAAGTATTGATTTTGTTTAATTAAATTATCTCTGTGCATTGGACAGGGACAAATGCTAAACATGGACTGCGCTGCAAGGCTTGTAAGATGAGCATCCACCACAAGTGCACCGACAGTATTGGACAACAGCGTTGCATGGGCAAACTGGTAAGCAAGCTGCTCGGTACAAATTGAACAGACTGCTACACAGCTCCCATTTGATCCATTAGCTCTCTAAACACGGCCCTGTTAGCAATTACCTCCTGAATGCAGCCCATTGGCTAATCTGAAATCAAGTTCCTTTCATTTAGACTATGGCAATTATGACTCGAGGGCTGAGAAAACACGTACAGTTTCTGTACTGTTGTAGGGATGTGCGTATATGGTTACACAGGGGTCAAATTAATCTAAATATTAGTTATTTTTAATTGAATATGCTATATAGTACAGATCTCTGCAACTCAATGAGCAAATGCTTGCATCTCAGACATTTCGAGTTTTGTTGCAAATATTTCACACACATTAGTTTTGGAGGGAGGGAAATCAAAGCTTTACACCAGACACAAGTTAGGAACAAATAGGTTGAAGCCCCGGCCCTTCTGAAGTCAATCAAAGTTTTGTCATTGATTTGAAAGGGGCTAGGAGATCCACCCATAGTCTTGCAGGGCCTGCGCTCTCCATGTGTTTGTACAGTAGTTCCTATTAATATGAATGGAAGTTACACATGAGGTAAAACAGAATGTGCTTTAACCGGAATTGTAGTCACAGCCTGGGACTTTCTGGTGCAGAAAGCTGAGTCTCAAGGATAGATGGGTACTAAAGAATTGAATTGCTGATCTGGTGTAAGCTGCATATTTAGTTCATATTAATTGTTTCAGACTTCAGGAGGGGGGAGTGTGTCATTATACACATTGCCAGCTAAAGCTGTGTGGTGGTGCTTTAGTTTTTATACAGGAGCAAACGAAGAAAGGCCAAATTCAGAACTGTCAGAAGCAGGCACCACTCAGCTTAAGTCAGGCCTACGGGCGCTCAGAATTTCACCTGTAGTTGGGGAAGTAAGGCTCTAAATCACTAGCATCAGTTCCCCACAGGCATCACAACTGTGAACCCCATCATTCCTTCACCATTTGTGTCTTTATATGGAAGCACGATAGCAGCAGGATTAACTCCCTGCAACTTTACCCATCTGGATATTGTAGCTATACACATCCTCCCTAAACATTTCTTTACTGGCAATTTGGAAATGCCACTGTTAAATGAAGTCACCCAGTTGTGAGGCTTCCACACTTCTTGTTGTGACGTGAACCTGTATGTAGCGTAGATTAGTGCGGAAACACAAGGTACCCAAATGCAGGTAGCATTGATTAGCTATGAGCTATAACTAATCAAAACGATGTCCATGGTAACAGCCATGTTGCCGGCTAGTGAATTCCTGAGCCTTAGGCTGAGAATGTCTTATCTCAAGATATGGTAAATACTGAGTTAACAAAGTACTTCATTCATTATGAACTGTGCTAAAAAAGCGGCATGGCTCTGGCTGTTATACCGTATCTCCCTAGAAAGAATATCTGAGGGCTATGTGATTATTTTGTTTGAAATCTTTTGCTACATAGGCCCAAATCCTGCTCCTTCGACCTGTAAGTGCATAGGACCCACAGGGAGTGGTCGGGCACAGGCAGACTATCCCCTTTGTGCACTGCAGACTGTGCTCTAAAAGGCTATGTACAAGGCAGCAGAGGGATTTGACATTAGAGCAGGGCAGGATGGGGGCATTGCGAATAGATCCATCACTATATACATTCACTGGCCAAATACTCCTGCATGGGAGAGGAAGGATTAAGCCATCCTGAAGGCTACTGCAACCAGTGGGCTGTAGTACAGGCTATGGACCATCATTGCATCCTGAAGGGATGATTCCTGGAAAGAATTGCTGAGCAAAGCCCATCCGCTCTGGCTTTGTATAAGGAAAGATGACTCACCCTTAAAGCCAATATTTATGAGTGTGTGTCTCTACCTGCCAAGGCTCCAAAGTGGGTCGCACCAATATGGGATAAAGACCCAAACTGAGACCCACAAGAAAATCAGCAATTCCCGATACTTTAAATACTGTGGCAATAGAATATTCCTTAGCATAAAATATTGCAAAACCTCTGTTTTATGATCCAGCATTTCTGCTGTAATTAATTTAAACTTATTAACACTAAATTTGTGTAAGGTTGAAGGTAAAATAGGCATTTGAAAATGAAGGCCATTATTCCAGATAACATTAAGAAACAGAAATGAGATGTTTCCAGTAGGCAAAAAAATAAACCCCTATTCTCGGCACCCTGCAGTGAAGGAGGTAAATTGCTGGTCTGTAACAGAGAGTCTGTTCCTGCTCTCAAGACTTATTTTAGTGGGATATAAGGATGATGCCACTAGCAGAACAGCTGAGATTATTTCTGATGCTCCGTGACACAATATCAGTCATGTCAGAGACACACGTCACATGTTTCCTCTCTCTAGCCAAAGGGGTTTCGGCGTTACTACAGTTCCCCACTACTCATTCATGAACAGTTTGGCTGCATCAAAGAAGTGATGCCTATTGGTGAGTTTTAACTGCTTTATCTTTCAATCTCTTTTGGGCTGCGCTATGCTCTCAGAAGTTATGTTTGTTCTCAGCAGCCCTTCAACTCCTTTGCCAGTGAGGGGCCAGGTGTTCTTCCACCATCTCAGAGAAATAGTCCTTCAAAGCTGTAACTGAAAGAAATGTATTTATTTTTATTTTCAATATTACATGATTCAAAGGCACAATGCACATAAAATGCTCACTGTCATCATGTTCACCAAACCAATGCTTGTGCTCAAAGTGGGAGGAGCCTGTGCATTGCTGCTAGCCAGGCCTGATTTGGGAAGAAGCACCACAAGAGTTGTATATTAAAATAACAGTGAACTATGCTCAACACTGGTCTAATCAGGATCTTGAATGAATTATGCTTCCATTCTCTCTTGTTCACCTTCCTTTCTTTTCTCGTTTGATTTTTACTGATTTAGTTATTATTTCTTCAGATACTTGGGCCAGATTTTGCTCTCTGTTACACCCAATTCTGAAAATGAAAATTTTGAACCAAAAAAAAAATTCAATTTTGAAAAACTTCCTCCATCTGATTAAAGGGTGACCATTCAAAACTGACAATGCAAAAACTGAAAACCAAGAAAATAACTAACATGAAAGAATGTGTCTGAGAGCAGCCAATGGGCTCATATTTTTGCCTGTAGTTTCCATCAAAACATTTTTTTAAAATTAAATGGCTGTGTGTAAATTTTCATTTTTAAAAAAAGACCCTTTTAATATGAGAATTGTTTCTGTTCAAAATATTCTGAGCAGCTCTTCTATAAAAACAAGGTTTGTCTTGCTCTATCCCAGTATCTTTCACCTCCCCGCTATGTAGGTTAACTATTTACCACCTTCCACCCTAGAGGAGACTGCACTTCTGTGATGCTATGTGTTATATAGAGCCTGAATCTGGTCTCCGTCACACTGCTGTAAATATATAGACTTTGGCTGACTTACCTTGATTTACACCAGTGTAAGTGAGAGCGTACGTTCAGAGATACCAAGGCCAGAAAGAACCACTGTGATCAACTAGTCTGACGTCCTGTATAACACAGGCCACAGAACTTCCCCATATAATTCTTCTTTGAACTAGACCATAGAAAAACTTTTAGAAAAACATCCAGTCTTGATTTTAAAATTTCTAATAATAGAAAATCAGGTCCACAGTTCTTGAATGTGCTTTGGGATGAATAGTGCTAGGTGAATGTAAGGCCCTGATCCTACAACTGTGTGGACTGACCTTACTGACTTAACTGGGGCTCTGCTTGGGGACAAGGGTCCTCTCCTGTGATTCTAAATGTAGGATTGGAGTCCCATATTCATTAGCTTGCATCATTTTTCTCTTTACTCAACTGACACTTTTGCTGTTTTGAGATTTGGGAGAAGTGCTCAGTTCTTATAAAATGATAGCTATGTAAGGCTTAAAGGGATCTCAAGAGGTCATATAGTCCATTCCCCTGCTCTGAAGTGGGACCAAGCATAACGAGACCATCCCTTGCAGGTGTTTGTCCAACCTATTCTCAAAAACCTCCAGTGATGGGGATTCCACAACCTCCCATAGTAAAGTGTTTCAGTGCTTACAGTTAGGTGGTTTTTCCTATATCTAACCTAAACCTCCCTAGTTGCAGATTAATCCCATTACTTCTTCTCCTACCTTCAGTGGACATGAAGAACAATTGATCACAGACCTCTTTATAACAGCCCTTATTACATTTGAAGACTGTTATCAGGTCCCCACTCAGTCTTCTTTTCTCAAAACTAAACATGCCCAATTTTTTAACCTTTCCTCATAGGTCAGGTTTTCTAAACCTTTTATCACTCTCCTCTGAATTCTCTCCAAGTTTTCCACATCTTTCTTAAAGTTTTGTGCCCAGAATTGGACACAGTACTCCAGCTGAGACTTCACCAGTGCTTAGTAGTGTGTCTTACATACAACACTCCTCTTAATACATCCAAGAATGATATTTGCCTTTTTCTCATGCATCACGTTGTTGGCTCATATTCCATTTGTGATCCACTATAACCCGTCCAGATCCTTTACTCCAGTTATTCCCAATTTTGTAGTTGTGCATTTGCTTTTTCCTTCCTAAGTGTAGTACTTTGCATTTGTATTTATTGACTTTTATCTTGTTGATTTCAGATCAGTTCTCCAATTTATCAAGGTCCTTTTGAATTATCATTCTGTCACCCAAAATACTTGCAATCCCTCCCAGCTTGATGTCCTCTGCAAATTTTATAAGCATAGTTGCCACTCCATTGCCCATTAATGAAAATACTAAATAGTACCAGAGCCAGGACTGACCTCTATGGGATCCCATTAGATACATCCTGTTAGTTTGACAGCGAACCACTGATAATGACTCCTTGAGCATGGGCTGTCAACAAGTTGTGCACCCACCTTATAGTAAATTCATCTAGACTGCATTTCCCTAGTTTGCTCATGAGACTGTCATGTGGCACTGTGTCAAAAGCCTTACTAAAATTAAGTTATATCACGTCTACTGCTTTCCCCTTTATCCACTAGGCCAGTAACCCTGTCAAAGAAGTAAATTCGGTTGGTTTTGCATGATTTATTCCTGACAGATTCATCTTAGCTATTCCTTATCATCCTATTATCCTCTGGATACTTACCAACTGATTATTTAATCATTTGTTCTAGTACCTTTCCAAATATTGAAGTTAGGCTGACTGGTCTATAATTCACCAGGTCCTCTTTATTCCCCTTTTAAAGTATTTAGCATGTTTGCCCTTCTCCAGTCATCTGGAACCAGTTCATTCTCCATGAGTTTGTGAAGATAATTGGTAATGGTTCCGAGATTGCTTCAGCTAGGTCCTTAAATAGCCACAAAGACACAAAGTAGAGCTAAGCTCTTATGCGAAGATCCAGTTCCATTCATGAACAGCTAATGACTTTTGTCCTTTTACCATATATTATAAATATCTTCCATTCAAAACAAAGGCCAGAATTTGCTGGATGTTGAGATAAGGCCCATCTCTCTCTTGCAAAGGAAGTAAGAGCCAGTCATAGAGTGTGTGTGTGGGAGGGATCAAGAAAGCAGAGAAAAGGAATCTACGAGTGAGATGGATGGCCTAAGGGTATGTCTACACCGCAATAGGCGATGCAACTGCAGCACACATTGGCATACTCATGCTGGCTTCCTAAAAATAGCAGGGAAATTGCATCGGTACAGGCAGTGGCACAGGCTAACTGCCCAAATACAGGCCCACCTGGGACCCCGGATATGAATTGGAGCAGCTAGTCCAGGCCACCACGCCTATACTGTTACTTATAGCAAGCTGGCTCAATCAAAGCTAATATGGAGATCCCTACACGTGCCATCCCAATTTCAGTGTAGACTTATCCTAAGTGGGAGAAGGGAGAGGCTGTGGGACAGTGGGAATGGGTGTAGATCATGTAGTTTCTCACAAATGAGGTGATTTTAGTTGCAATGGGAGAGGATTAGGGGCGGGTCAGTCAATAGGAAGGTTGGGAGCAAGGAATGAGTGGAATGACGGATGGGCAGTTAAGTCTCTAAGTGAAGGAGACATAATGATGGGTACTTTCTTTCACGTGTTTATCTCTGTTTTGCCTCTTCTGTTGCAGCTTGTGGCAACAAAGTCGACCCCGTGTATGAAACCCTCCGATTTGGAACCTCCTTAGCACAGAAGACCAAGAGGGGCAGCTCTGGAAGTGGATCTGATTCACCCAAACGGAACTCTGTAATTCTTCTGTTTTATCTTCCCTTTTCCTTTTGCAGGATCACAGCACATCCATACACAATAGTTGTGTTAGTTTCCATCAGAAAGTCCAAATTTCAGGCTATTAAAAAAAATACATTCCAGACTAGAAAAGGGCCTATAAATTCTTTTTTGTAAACCCAGTTTGTAAACATCTTGTAACTAACCCTTAAAAAGAAGGAAAAATAGACGTTGAACAGGTGAGCATTCCTGTTTCACTTTGATCTGAAAATGCTGAAATTCAACAAACCACGTAGGCTAGAATCATTTGGGAGGGAGAGGAGGGGAAGTAAAAACCTAAAATAAGCAAAACTATTTAAATTTGAAAAGTGACTTGCATGGGCACAGCACCGGCTTTAAAAAAGCCATTGGTATCTTGCAACTAGCTATGACTAGCAGGCAATGCATAGTCACACTGTTCTAGGGGCAGAACAGGTACTGAATTCTGCCTCCACCCACTCTTTGCCCATGTGCAGAGGAGAGGGAGTAGCTGCCCAATGGCACTGGGATCCATGATCTGGGTAGACCGTGCAGGTGATTAAGTTAGCACCCTACATCCCCTCATTTTCATTCCTGAGCATGTTGGCCAGTCCATGACTGAAGCAGCAGAAGGCTGTTTTTTCAGGGGTCCTGAATGCCCACAACTCTAACTGAATTCAGTGGAAATTGCAGGTGATTGGCATCTCTGAAATTCAGGACCTAGATAGTAGTAGTAGTCTAGGAATAGTTGGCTGCAGGACTTAAATTCTCAGAGACTATTTCCCAGAGCTCCCCGCACCTCCCCCCAACAATTTGGGGCTCCAGGCTTCAGCTGCAGGGCATTAGCCCCATAGGGAGGCGCTTGGGCTCAGGGCTTTAGCCCTTTGGGGAGGTGCCAAGGCTCCCACAAGTTTAAAAATATTTACTGGAGCTCTGCTCCCGAGGGCTCCAGCTGAATTTAAGCCCTGGCTGATCACATGGTGCTAGCTTGGGTCTTTATTTCATTAAAGATGGCTGGAAACAATACATTACATGGGCCTGGGGGAGGGGCATGAGCGGGGGAGTGATTCTCCATCATGAATGAGAAGGGAGGTGGTCAACAGACAATCTCTCTGTTACAGTGTTGTCTGCACTTGAAAAGGGAACTTCTGCCTTAGAGTGAAATTCATCACTGCAAGAAAGTGCCCATAGGACTCAGGCCCCAATTCAGCTCAGCACTTAAACACTTGCTTAATGTTAAACTGGTGCTTCAATCCATCCCTGTTCAGCACAGCACTTAAGCCATTATTTCATTGGGACCTAAACAGGTGCTTAATTGCTGTGTTGAATCAGGGCCTTAAATGGTACAGATGGCCTTTTAAACAGACATTAATTTAACTCAGAAAGGCAAGCACAGAGAAATTGAAACCAGAGACTTACAATTCCTAAGTAAAAGCCGCACAGGAGTTAGTAAAGGACATGCCCCTCATCCAGTGTTTTCTCTTTTAAAAGAAACTTAGTAATTTTCCGCCTTTTTTTAATTCCAAAACCAGTTCTAAAACCTTTCACGGTTTGTGATTTCAGCTCTTTCTTTGGCTTATTTAATTTATACTGGAACAGGAGTTCTACAAATGTAATTATTACCTGTTAAATCAATAAAGCATTATGTTAAATTATGAATGATTACTCAGGTGTAGAAAACACAGATGCATTATCAGCTTGCCCTGGACTTTTGATCATAACAAGATGGGGAGTGGGTGTAAAGTACAGAATGCCCTTTTGTCATGGGCTATTCTCCCAGGGAGTCAGATTGTGACTAAATGTAGCACATGTCAGTGGTTAGATAATATAGAAAAGCATAAGACAGAGAGACAGACATGGGAAACCCTAACTTCTCACAGTTAAATTCTGAGTCAGCAATGGGTGAGCAGTTACAGAAACTTAACTTCTTCACTGTTGGTCCTTCCATCCCACATCCCTGAGCTGTTGTTTCATTACAATCACAGTGGAGGTTGTGAATGATGTGCCTGGTTTGCCCAATGTGCCAGCTGTGATTATGCTACAGTGAAGTGGGTAATAGATGCAAAGCAGGAAGGAATACAGCTTTTATGACCTTATTGAGACCAATGTCACAATAACATCTAGAATCTGCATGTCCCTCTAGGTGATTTTGGCCTGGTTTCTTGAATGACCATAAATGGAAGGTAGGCATATGCTCCGAACTGAGCACCTATCACTTCACTGCTTCCCTCAAAATGTAATCCTCTAGCGCATATTTATATGGGGAAATTGTTTGAGGTAATGTAAACATGGCACCAGTCTTCCTTCAGGGTTTGATGGATCAATTCTTTCGGAGTGAGGCTTTGTATTTCAAAGTGAGAGTATTTGTCCTATAGGGCCTGATCCAAAGCTCATTGATGTCAGTGGAAAGACACACACTAACTTCAGTGGGCTCTGGATCAGGCCCATAATGCAGAGATTGTTATGGCACTGACACAATATTCAGCAAAACATTTCATTATAGCAGGATATTCTCACCTCAGGTGCAACACTGTCAGTGTATGGAGCCAAAGGCTTTTTAATCATTACAGAGATGCAGGAGTCTGGTGTTGAATGCGCCAAAATGAAGGGTTACATTTGCTGAAGGTTAAGTCTTGAAGCTAGTTGGTGGGAAATCCAGGGATCCAGCCTTTGCAAACTGTTGAAAAATAACTGTGATCTGGGATTTCTTTCAACGATGTCTGTTTTCCACCTAAGAGCTAGGAAGTCCATGTTCAGCCTGTGACATTCCCCATAGTTTGCCCCACTTTACACAGTATTCTTATCACTTAACATTTATATTGCGATAGAGCCTAAAGGCCTCAACCAGGTTGGGACCCCATTGTGTAAGGCACAGTAAAAATATATAATAACTAACAGCTCCTGCCCAGAAATGCTTACAGTCTAAAAGACAAGCCATAAGAGGTGGATGGGACAAACAGGAGGGCAGGGTGTTGGCAAGGGAGACAAGATAACAAAATGATTTTCAGCCCCGCCAGCTCCCTGTTAACTCCCATGGCTAAGGATGTGTTCCTGAGTTGGGGACTGACAGAGCAAAGTAGCTCTAAACAACAGTTCAGGAAAAGAAGTGACGAAAATACTGTGTCCAACTGAAAGTGCTGAGAAATTTAGCAAAGCCAAATGGAATTAATCACGTTGTGATTTGACTCAGACATTATGGCTAACCCAGCCTTATATGTTTTGTTATACAGCTGCCATTAAAAAGGCACTATAAAAGTCAATTAATTCATTATCTGGTTTATTTTATTTGGTATGTTTGTAAAGTCCAAATAACTTTTATTCCAGGCACATGTTTTAATGCTGTTGGGTTGGTTGGTCGGTTGGTTTTTTGCTCTAACAGATCAGTGCCAACAGCCTTACATTTATAAGCAACCCTGCAATAACAATTAATGTGTGTATAAAGGTGGAATATATTTACAGGAAAACAAATTTCATTTTTCATCTTTCAAGCATTTAAACCTTTAACATTTTCATTCACGACCTTGGCACAAAAAGTGGGAGTGTGCTAATAAAATTTGTGAATTGCAAAAGTTGGGAGGTATTGCCAATAATGAGAAGGAACAGAATATCATACAAAAAGAGATGGATGACCTTGAAAACTGGAGTAATAGAAATGGGTTGAAATTTAATAGTGTAAAGTGCAAGGTCATGAACTTAAAGACTAACAAGAATTTGTGACAGGTTTCAGAGTAGTAGCCAGGTTTCAGAGTAGTGTTAGTCTGTATCTGCAAAAAGAACAGGAGTACTTGTGGCACCTTAGAGACTAACAAATTTATTAGAGCATAAGCTTTTGTGGGCTACAGCCCACTTCATCGGATGCATAGAATGGAACATATAGTAAGAAGAGATATATAGATACAGAGAAGGTGGAAGTTGCCATACAAACTGTAAGAGGCTAATTAGTTAAGATGAGCTATATCAGCAGGAGAAAAAAACTTTTGTTGTGATAATCAAGATGGCCCATTTAGACAGTTGACAAGAAGGGGTGAGGAGACTTAACATGGGGAAATAGATTCAATATGTGTAATGACCCAGCCACTCCCAGTCTCTATTCAAACCCAAGTTAATGGTATCTAATTTGCATATTAATTCAAGCTCAACAGTTTCTCGTTGGAGTCTGTTTTTGAAGCTTTTCTGTTGAAAAATTGCCACCCTTAAATCTTTTACTAAGTGGCCAGAGAAGTTGAAGTGTTCTCCTACTGGTTTTTGAATGTTATGATTCCTGATGTCAGATTTGTGTCCATTTATTCTTTTGTGTAGAGACTGTCCGGATTGGCCAATGTACATGGCAGAGGGGCATTGCTGGCACATGATGGCATATATCATATTGGTAGATGTGTAGGTGAACGAGCCCCTGATGACGTGGCTAATGTGATTAGGTCCTATGATGGTGCCACTTGAATAAATATGTGGACAGAGTTGGCATCGGGCTTTGTTGCAAGGATAGGTTCCTGGATTAGTTTTTTTGTTGTGTGGTGTGTGGTTGCTGGAGAGTATTTGCTTCAGGTTGGGGAGCTGTCTGTAAGCGAGGACTGGTCTGTCTCCCAAGATCTGTGAGAGTGAGGGATCATTTTTCAGGATAGGTTGTAGATCCTTGATGATGCGTTGGAGAGGTTTTAGTTGGGGGCTAAAGGTGCCAGCTAGTGGTGTTCTGTTATGTTCTTTGTTGGGCCTGTCCTGCAGTAGGTGACTTCTGGGTACTCTTCTAGCTCTGTCAGTCTGTTTTTTCACTTCAGCAGGTGGATACTGTAGTTGTAAGAATGCTTGATAGAGATCGTGTAGGTGTTTGTCTCTGTCTGAGGGATTGGAGCAAATGTGGTTGTATCTTAGAGCTTGGCTGTAGACAATGGATTGTGTGGTGTGTCCTGGATGGAGGCATGTAGGTAAGTATAGAATTTGTGCTATAAACTGGGGATGTAACAGTTGGAAGTGACAGAGGAGGAGAAAGATCTGGGTGTATTGGTTGATCACAGGATGACTATGAGCTGCCAAGGTGAAAAAGGCTAATGAAATCTTAGGATGTATCAGGCAAGGTATTTCTGGTAGAGACAGGGAAGTGTTATTGCCATTATACAAGGCACTGATGAGACCTCATCTGCAATACTATGTGCAATTGAGGTCTCCCATGTTTAAGAAAGATTTATTCAAACTGGAACAAGTGCAGAAAAGGGCTACTAGGATGATCAAAGGAATGGAAAAACCTACCTTATGAAAGGAGACTCAAGGAGCTTGACTTGTTTAGCCTAACCAAACAAAGACTGAGGGGAGATACAATTGCTCTCTATAAATAGATCAGAGGGATAAATACCAGGGTGGGAGAGGAGTTATTTGTTGTGGGCCAATGTTGACACAAGAACAAATGGCTATAAACTGACCATCAACAAGTTTAGACTTGAAATTAGTTGAAGGTTTCTAGCCATCAGAGGAGTGAAGTTCTGGAACAGCCTCCCTAGGGGAGCAGTGGAGGCAAAAAAACCTAGTAGTCTTCAAGACTGAGCTTGATAGGTTTTATGGAGAGGGTGGCATGATGAGACTGCCTAGAATGGAATGTGGCCCATGTGCGATTGCTGTAGCAAGTAGCCCCAGCAGCTAGAGACCGGACACTCGATGAGGAGGGCTCTCAGTTACTATAGATAATTCTTTTCCAGGTGTCTGGCTGGTGGGTCTTGCCCACATGCTCAGGGTCTAACTGATCGCCATATTTGGAAGGAATTTTTCCCCTGGTCAGATTGGCAAAGACCTTGGGTGCCTGTTGCCTTCTTCTATAGCCTGGGGCCCGGGTCACCTGCTGGTTTGAACTAGAGTAAATGTTGGATTCTCTGTAACTTGAAGTCTTTAAATCATTATTTGAGATCTTCAGTAACTCAGCCAGAGATTATGGTTCTACTACAGATGGGGGTGAGTGAGATTCTGTGGCCTGCAATGTGCAGGAGGTCAGACTAGATGATCACAACGGTACCTTCTGCCCTTAAAGTCTATGAGCGAGCAGCTTTGCTATAAACATGTGACAGAAAACAAGATTTAGAAAATTGTTGAAGAAAGCCACATCATTGATGGTGAGCTTTAAAGCTAGCTGGAGCACATTTTTTGTCTTTTCTTCTTGTGTCCCAAGCGTAGGCTTGCAAAGCAGTTAGTTTACTTGTGTGTAAAGTATAATTACACCGTATCATGAAGAAATTAAATGGTAGGATGAAATCCTCACAAGCACTTTAAAAAGATGTTATCAAGAAATAAACAAACCTTAGGAATATACAAAAGGAAATAGGTTTTCAGACTAGAAAATGCATCAGAAAACTCCTGAGTTTATAGAGATGTTTTAAAAATAATCCCCAAAGTAGATGAGCATGCTGAACTCAGAATCTGAAGGTTCAGAGGGTCAGATTCTGATGACTTTATCTAGAGTAGCTCCTTACTCCAATGTAGCTACCCATGCAGAAAGGTGCTACTCAACACAAGTAATGATATCGGACTCTGGCCCTTAGACTATACACTTTTGAAGCCTGGAACTGGATTGTCCTCTATGTTTGTACAACACCTAGTACCATGGGGGCACTAATCCTGATTGGAGCCTCTAGGCACTACTGCAGTACAACTAATACATAAAATAAGTGTAACAAAGGTATTTAGCTTTCAATTTTTTAATTATACCAGCGAAGAAATTAGGTGCAGTGATTATGTGACTAATTTCAGTAGGTCTTTCACGCTCCTGAGCTTTCTTCCATAGCAAATTGGAGAAATTAAGGTCAGACTTCCTCTTAAGGATATGTTTCTAAACTGTTTCTAAAACCTTAATAAATGAATTATATATGTTTTAATAAATGGTTAATGAATTGTTATAGTGTTATGAAGTGTAACTGCAAATAAAGATTTACAAGCACCAAAAAATAGCTACTCTGTACAGATACCAACCTTTTTTTATTAACTCCTAAACCCAAACTTCTTCTGGTGTCCAGAAATCTGTTGTATACTAGAACGGGCATTCATTTGGGTTTCCTGCTGCTTCCCATTAAGAATTTGAACTGCCCCATTGGATATCATGTTATCAGCAAATCTCTTCATGTTGACTCCCTCCACTCTCAAAACACCAAGCTGCTGCTTTCACTTAATGCTCCTGTGTGATTTTATTTCACCTCATTATCCACTTTCTTCCTTATTTTGTCCCATTCATCCTCTCTTTCCTCATAGACTTCAGACCTGGCAGAAGTTCCTGAGGAAGCAGATGGTTCAGGAAGCATGTTTGATATAAACAGGAAACGCAGCAACAGTGGTGAGTTCTGGACCATCTAGTATTTTCAGATGCACAAAAATATTCTTCTAAATGACTGGTGTAATTATTCCACTACCTTGGCCCACACAAGTGGAATCCATGAGGGATGAATTTGGCCCAATGTGGACCTTTCTTATGTCCTTAAGGGAGTTTATTCGTTTATTGAGTTAAGGAAGAGTTTTGGCCAAGGGGTTGGGAACAGGAGTCTGGGAAGGTCTCTTTACCAGTGTTGCATATTTACTTGGCTCCTAATGGCCTGTGGGGACTGATTTTCCATACCCACTATGACCAGATTTAGGTGACAGTGGACAGGCACTCAGCACATCTGGGTTCAGTCCCTGCCTCTGGTACAGACTTCCTGTATGTTTTGTGAGACTTTAGGCTGGTCATTTAATGTCTGTTCTCCTCAATTCCCCACCTGTAAAATGGGGATGATGATACTTCCTCTCCTCCCACCCTTTTGTCTGTCTCGTCTACTTAGACTATTAGCTCATCAGGGCAGAGAGAGTCTGTTATATGTGTTCCATACCAGGCCCAGCACAATGGGTCTTGATCTCAGATGTGGCCTTTTGGTGCTACTGTAGTACAAATCATAAATAACACTAATAGTCCAAATCCTTTGTCCTCTTTTTGAATCTGAATGTAATGTTCTTGTACTGTTGTAACTGTTATGAGGTAACTCCATCACTGGCAGCCCAGTGATGAAGACTTCCGTGCGTGCAGTGACGGAGTCTTAGCCAGGAGCTTGGAACACTGAGTTGCGAAATTGCAGTGTCCATTGGGCTCCAGTTCAGTCCTGGCAATAGAAAGATTGTGTGTAGAAAGAACTTCGGGGGCACCCAGTAACCCTATAAGCCAGGAGTGGAGGAGTTGTTGCACCGAGGCTCACCAATACCACCAAGAAGAATTAGTATTCCCAAACTTCAGGCAGGGGCAGACTGGCTGGATCCGAGGGAAACACAAGCCACAGCGAATGGACCTCTCTTCTTTGAACCCCAACATCCACCTCCTCCACAGTGCAGATCCCCCATTGGTTTTGGCATATGGCTAGTAAGTTTTACAGTGGTCAGGTGTCAAATGTAGTTGTCCTTTCCCACCCCCACCTCCTATTTTACCTCCTTCCCAGACTTCTCCCTATTCCTCATTCCGACCCTTTCATTTCACATCTCTGGTTTCAGTCCTTTTCCTCCCTCTCAGCATGTGGCCCACCCATCAGTGGCACCCACCTCCTCCTGATGGGTGGGTTACATGCTGAGGGGGGATTTTCCACTTCACTTGAGCACTTGGAACTGTAACTCAACCTGGCCAGTTGGAAAGAATCCATTCTAACTGAGTTTCATTTTTCCCCTGAGGTTTTCAGATCGCTTTTTTTCCATCACTTACCTCCTTTTTTTTTTTTTTTTTTTTGGAGCCTGTAAGAAACTTTTCTATGGGATCTGCATGACTTAGAGGCCTCAAGAAACTTGCTCAAAGAGATCAGTTTAAAGAACTCAGCATGTGCCAAACCTCCAAATAACTTCCTCAGCACATTAATGATTCCTTTGATCGGCATCGACTTTCTTTTTCGATCCATCCTTCAGAGGCCTAGTGTATAAATTATGCAGCAATTGCTCCAAATATTTCCTCTTGGTGGATTTTAATAAACTTTCTGTGTTTTTTGTGCTAATGATGGAAATGCCAAGACCCTTTTCATGCTGTCAGAGTTCTCACATGGTTTTCCTACGGCTGCAAGGGCAAACAGATGGATTTCTGGTTTGTGTAGAGATGAACCCCATAGTTGCTATGACCTTTACTTTTACATGTCTCCCAGTAATATTCAAAGAGCATGAGTTAAACAGAGATTAAAAGTTTAATGAACTCATTTAAAAATATTCTTGGGGTGTTATTCACCATTGCATTGCTCCCGCTTTACAAGGGATAATAACTTCAGTGATTCTAAATGATGTTACTACACCATAAAGCTAGAGTAACACAGCAATGAATCAGGCCCCATGTGTTTTATTTTTCCCAGCCTTCCTCAAGGAATGTTTTAGAAAAATGCAGATTTGTGTCAGTTTATGCAATAGGGTTTATGCAATAGGGAAACAGCAAGAGGAACACACTATGGAGAAGTCTAGGAGACACAGCAAACATGGGCTGGTTTATTCATTTCTATAGATTCATTGCAATAATTTCAAGGGGAAATTAATTCTCTACAGTGCTAAAGCATAACAATATCAAGTGTGCTTAGTTTACAAATAAAAAGATGGATTTTCTAACCGCCAACTCTGTAAACTCACCCTGGTCTCCACCAGTCAATTGGGCTCATTACTTTGCATGCATTATTACCAGTAATAAAAGTTCTGCAAGCCAAATTATTCTGTAAAAGACATCTGTGCAGTCCCATTGCCATCAGTGAGTGTGTGTAGATGTACCTGATTCAGGTATAGGAAACAATCTCCAGGAAGGAGCACACTTAGTGTTCAGTTCTGTCAATGCACCGGAAATAGAACCATGCTCACGCACTCAGCTGATTCTGCATTGCTGACCAGAGTAAAAAATAGTAGTAAGATTTTATTTTTCTGAATGGAGAAATCAGAAATTACCCTGAATACACAGAGGTAGCCAATCTGATGAACAAAAAAGTTATATTTAGTCAGTCGACTTTTCAGGTCAGAAATGCACTCTAAAATTTTGTAAAGCTTTTTCACATTATGAATGATGTAAGTCTAGATAGATATTACCTCACTCATCCTTTCTGTTATTGGACCAACTTCTGTTGGTGACAGAGACAAGCTTTTGAACTTACACAGAGCTCTTCTCCAGAACTGAAGAGCTCTGTGTGAACTCAAAAGCTTGTCTCTCTCACCAACAGAAGTTGGCCCAAAAACAGATATTACCTTACTGACCTTTTCTTGCTATGTCACTGGGGAGGCAGAGAGAGATTCAGCAGGAGTGCACTGGCTTCTTGGCTTTTATTATTCTGAAAGTATGAAACTAAATCACAGAGAAGGGAGACAACAATACATAGAACAATCACTGGCTTGGACTGCTTTTGGAGACTTCTGTCATGTATTTCTTATTTTTCTAACAACAAATGTAATCCAATGCTGGGACTAAACTCTTAGAAAAGTGACTTAGGCCCAGAACAGTTGATGGGTTCCATCTACTAAAATCATGGATGGGCTTTGTCCAAAAGTAGGGGACACCATTCTCTAAAAATTAGGAAACTGTTCTTAGAGAGTGAAGAAGGAACATAGTCAGTTCCATAAAGCAATTGATGTTAGCAGGGAAGGCACCTGAAGCATGTTATAAATCAGCTAATGAAATAATTACAGTAGATTAAGCTAAATTCTGATACCCTTATTAACCCTGAGTGGGACCTTTCTGCTTGAGTAGACCCATTGATTTCAGTGGAGTTACCCACAAAGTGAGGTGTTACGCAGTGTGAGTAAGGCTGCCAGAATCTCGTTGGCCTGGGAATCAAGAGACCTGGGCTCGATTCCCAACTCCGCCTCTGACCTGCTGCATGACCTTGGGCAATTCTCCTGTATCCCTTCCCACCTTTTATTTTGTGTGTTCTGATAGTCCCTGCTTGAAGAATTAACAATCTTGTGCTACTTCTTTGTACAGTGCTTAGCACAATGGGGCCCCTGACTTGGTTGCGGCATATAAGTGCGACTGCAATACAAAATGACTGATTAATAAAAGAAGGACATTACTGAGAGTGGTAGTGAAAATTAGAAAGGGAGGATTAGGGGAGAGAGATATAAGGTGGGCCTCGGGAGGTGAATTGCCTTCACCTGTCCCTAAAATGTCATGTGTTTTGTTTTATTTCAGTGTTTACCTACTCAGAAAATGGAACAGAAGACTTTGGAGAAGAATCAAAAAGGATAAACTCCCTGGTATGGGCCAAGATTTAGTGAGGGTATAGTGAAAATGTTAATTGATTTAAGGGTCTTGTTTTTACAGAAACACGCTTGGGTGAGTATTATAAATTGGCCTGGTCAACACAAGCATCATGACAGGTGAGCCAGAGCAATGTGAATGTGATTACAATGGAGCAGTCTAACAGCTGTGACAGCATAAAAATGGTGCTGCACAATCCAGAGTCTGACATCATTTGAAAAGGATCTTGGTCTTTTTGCAGTTTCTTTTGGCCAAATTGTCCCTGGCCCTTGTGTGAGGGCATATATGGAGAGAAGGAATGCAAGGAGTGGTCTCCCTCACTGAGCACACTGGGCAAACCTTCCTGAGGTGGGAAAGTGCCCAGTCCTTCCTTGAGCTCTGGCTTTCATGGTTATGTACCACCTTACTCAGCACTGTGCATGATCAGCACAGGCTAGCTCTTTATAATTTATACCCGTCGTATAAAAAAGGTGACTTTAACAGAGGGCTAGATGTTGGCGGGGAAGGGGGCTGGAGAGGAGACATGGAAAATTACAGTTGGGCCATAGGAGCAATAACAAGGAAATCAGTGGAGGAATCTGCTCAACATTTTAGATGTCTATACATAAATGCAAGGAGTGTGGGGAATAAACAGAAAGAACTGAAAGTATTAGTCCATAAGCTAGATTATGGCTTAAGAAAGGACAGGCAGGATAAAAAGGAAGGAAGTGTTGCATTATACATCAAGAATATATACACCTATTCTATAGTCCAGGAAGAGGTAAGAGGCAGACCAGCTGAAAGTGGTCTGATCAAAAGGGTAAAAAAAAAGTAAAGATCAAAAGGGTAAAAAAAAAAATAGGGGTGACATCATGGTAGGAGTCCATTATAGACCATCAAATCAGGACAAGGAGGTGGATGAAGCATTTCAAGAACAAATAACAGAAATATCCAAAACAAAAGACCTGGTAGTAATGGGAGGACTTTACCCAGACATCTGTTAGAAAAATAAACTGGCAAAACACAAATTTTCCAATAAGTGCTTGGATTGCATTGGAGACATCTTTTTATTTCAGAAAGTAGAGGAAGGAACCAGGAGGACAGCCATTTTAGATTTGATTCTGAGCAACAGAGAGGAATTGGTAGTGAATCTGAAGTGGGCAATTTGGGTGAAAGTAACCATGAAATTATAGATTTCACAATTCTAAAGAAAAGAAGGAATGGGAACAGCAGAATAAGGGCAATGGACTTCAAATAAGAAGATATTAACAAACTCAGAGAATGGAGAGATTCTCTTCTCATAGGACCTTATCTAAGGGGGAAAGGAGTTCAGGAGGGCTGACAGATTCTCAAGAAGACAGTATTAAAGACAACTGTAAACTATCCTGATGCAAGGGAAAGATAAGAGGAATAATAAGAGACCAATATGACTCCATCAGGAGCTCTTCAATGACCTGAAAATCAAAAAGGAATGCTACAAAAAGTGGAAACATGGACAAATTGCTAAGGAGGAGTATAAAAGAACAGCACATGTATATAGGGACAAAATCAGAGAGACTAATGTCTACACTACGAAATTAGGTCGAATTTATAGAAGTCGATTTTTTTAGGAAGCGATTTTATACGGTCGATTCCACTAAGTGCGTTAAGTTGGCAGAGTGTGTCCACAGTACCGAGGCTAGCGTCGACTTTCAGAGCGTTGCACTGTGGGTAGCTGTCAAGGTTCCTCCCCCACTCTGAACGCTAGGGTACAGATGTGGGGACCTGCATGAAAACCTCCTAAGCTTATCTTTACCAGCTTAGGTCAAAACTTCCCCAAGGTACAAAATATTCCACCCTTTGTCCTTGGATTGGCCGCTACCACCACCAAACAAATACTGGTTACTGGGGAAGAGCTGTTTGGAAACGTCTTTCCCCCCAAATACTTCCCAAAACCTTGCACCCCACTTCCTGGACAAGGTTTGGTAAAAAGCCTCACCAATTTGCATAGGTGACCACAGACCCAAACCCTTGGATCTGAGAACAATGAAAAAGCATTCAGTTTTCTTACAAGAAGACTTTTAATAGAAATGGGAGTAAATAGAAGTAAAGAAATCCCCTCTGTAAAATCAGGATGGTAGATACCTTACAGGGTAATTAGATTCAAAACATAGAGAACCTCTCTAGGCAAAAACTTAAGTTACAAAAAGATACACAGACAGAAATAGTTATTCTATTCAGCACAATTCTTTTCTCAGCCATTTAAAGAAATCATAATCTAACATGTACCTAGCTAGATTACTTACTAAAAGTTCTAAGACTCCACTCCTGGTCTATCCTCGGCAGAAACAGCATATAGACAGACAGAGACCCTTTGTTTCTCTCCCTCCTCCCAGCTTTTGAAAGTATCTTGTCTCCTCATTGGTCATTTTGGTCAGGTGCCAGCGAGGTTACCTTTAGCTTCTTAACTGTAAAGGGTCTTTACAGGTGAGAGGAGCTTTCCCCTGGCAGGAGGGATTTCAAAGAGGTTTACCCTTCCCTTTATATTTATGACAGTAGCTATCCCACAGTTCCCGCAGTCTCCGCCACCCATTGGAATCCTGGATTGAGCTCCCAATGCCTGATGGGGCAAAAACATTGTCGTCGGTGGTTTTGGGTACATGTTGTCAGTCGCCCCTCCCTCTGTGAGAACAACAGCAGACAATCATTTCACGCCTTTTTTCCGCGCAGACGCCATACCATGGCAAGCATGCAGCCCGCTCAGCTCAGCCGCCGCTGTTGTGTCCTGGGTGCTGCTGGCAGCGGACGGTGCAGTAGGGCTGCAAACCATCGTCATCGAATGATGGAACGCAACTGCTTCTGCTGCCACTCTGCTCTCCTGCTCTGGCAGCAGACGGTGCAGTAGGGCTGCAAACCATCATCATCGAACGACCGCTTCTGCTGCCACTCTGCTCTCCTGCAGACGCCATAGCACAGCAAGCATGGAGCCCGCTCAGATCACCACGGCAGTTATGAGCACTGTAAACACCTCGCGCATTATCCTGCAGCATGTGCAGGACCAGAACCTGCAAAAGCAGGTGAGGAGGCGACGGCAGCGCGGTGACGAGAGTGATGAGGACCTGGACACAGACTTCTCTCGAAGCACGGGCCCTGGTAATTTGGACATCATGGTGGTAATGGGGCAGGTTCATGCTGTTGAATGCCGATTCTGGGCCCGGGAAACAAGCACAGATAGTGTTGCAGGTCTGGGATGATTCCCAGTGGCTGCGAAACTTTTGCAGGTGTAAGGGCACTTTCATGGAACTTTGTGACTTGCTTTCCCCTGCCCTGAAGCACAAGAATACCAAGATAAGAGTAGTCCTCACAGCACAGCCCTCACAAGTGAATGGCGATAGCCCTCTGGAATCTTGCAACGCCAGACACCTACCGGTCAGTCAGGAATCAATTTGGAGTGGGCAAATCTACTGTGGGGGCTGCTGTGATCCAAGTAGCCAGTGCAATCACTGACCTGCTGCTATCAAGGGTAATGACTCTAGGAAATGTGCAGGTCATAGTGGATGGCTTTGGTGCAATGGGATTCCCTAACTGTGGTGGGGCGATAGACGGAACACATATCCCTATCTTGGGACCGGAGCACCAAGGCAGCCAGTATATAAACTGCAAGGGGTACTTTTCAATGGTGCTGCAAGCACTGGTGGATCACAAGACATGTTTCACCAACATCAATGTGGGATGGCTGGGAAAGGTACATGACGCTTGCATCTTCAGGAACTCTGGTCTGTCTGAATGGCTGCAGCAATGGGCTTACTTTCCAGACCAGAAAATAACCGTTGGGGATGTTGAAATGCCTACAGTTATCCTTGGGGACCCAGCCTACCCCTTAATGCCATAGCTCATGAAGCCATACACAGACACCCTGGACGGTAGTCAGGAGCTGTTCAACTATAGGCTGAGCAAGTGCAGAATGGTGGTAGAATGTGCACTTGGATGTTTAAAAGCACGCTGGCGCAGCTTACTGACTCAGTTAGACCTCAGCAAAACCAATATTCCCATTGTTATTACTGCTTGCTGTGTGCTCCACAATATCTGTGAGAGAAAGGGGAAGACGTTTATGGCGGGGTGGGAGGTTGAGGCAAATCGCCTGGCCGCTGATTACGCGCAGCCCAACACCAGGGTGGTTAGAAGAGCACAGCAGGGTGGGCTGCGCATCAGAGAAGCTTTGAAAACCAGTTTCATGACTGGCCAGGTTACGGTGTGACAGTTCTGTTTGTTTCTCCTTGATGAAAACCCACCCCCTTGGTTCACTCTGCTTCCCTGTAAGCCAGCCGCCCTCCCCTGCCCCCTTCGATCACCACTTGCAGAGGCAATAAAGTCATTGTTGTTTCAAATTCATGCATTCTTTATTAATTCGTCACACAAATAGGGGGATAACTGCCACGGTAGCCCAGGAGGGGTGGAGGAGGAGGGAAGTACTAGGTGGGTTGGGGGAGGAGGGAAGGACAAGGCCACACTGCACTTCAAAACTTATTGAATGCCAGTCTTCTGTTGCTTGGGCAGTCCTCTGGAGTGGAGTGCTTGGGTGCCCGGAGAGCCCCCCCAACCTGCATTCTTGGGCATCTGGGTGTGGAGGCTATGGAACTTGGGGAGGAGGACGGTTGGTTACACAGGGGCTGCAGCGGCAGTCAGTGCTCCTGCTGCCTTTCCTGTACCTCAGCCATACGCCGGAGCATATCAGTTTGATCCTCCAGTAGCCTCAGCATTGCTTCCTGCCTCCTCTCATCACACTGCCACCACCGCTCCTCTTGCTCCAGCCATCTATCCTCACACGTGTCTCTCCTGTCCTTGCGTTCATTTTATGCTTTTCTGGACTCTGACATTGTCTGCCTCCACACATTCTGCTGGGCTCTTTCAGTGTGGGAGGACTGCATGCGCTCAGAGAACATTTCATCGCGATTGCATTTTTTTCTCCACCTTATCTGCACTAGCCTCTGGGACAGAGATGACAAGGGGAGCATTGAAACATTTGCAGCTGCGGGAGGAAAAAAAGGGAGAGTAGTATTTAAAAAGACACATTTTAGAGAACAATGGGTAGACTCTTTCATGGTGAACCAAGCTGTTAACATTACATAGCACATGTGCTTTCTTTACAAGGTCATATTTTGCCTCTTAAATTGAGGGCCTGCCAGTTGGTGTGAGAGATCACACATGCAGGGCTGGGCAACAGATTTCGGCTTGCAGACAGCCATGGTAAGCCACAGTCTTTTGGCTTCTTTAACCTTCATAATATGTGGAAATGGTTTCAAACAGCAGCACCCTCATTTCCCATACCAAGCACCCATTGGGTCGGCCATTTAAAAGGAGGGGCTGTGGTTTTCGGGTTAACATGCAGCACAAACCCAACTAAACCCCCCCTCACACCCAATTATCTGGGAAGATTGCTTCACACACCCCCCATCCCACCCCCACCGCGTGGCTAACAGCGGGGATTATTTCTTTTCAGCCATAGGCACACAGCCCAGCAGGAACGGGCACCTCTGAATGTCCCCTTAAGAAAAGCACCCTATTTCAACCAGGTGACCATGAAAAATATCACTCTCCTGAGGATAACAGAGATAAAGAACGGATGTTGCTTGAATGCCAGCAAACACCAGGACCATACGCTGCCATGCTTTCTTATGCAATGATTCTAGACTACATGCTGCTGGCCTGCCATGGTAAAGTGTCCTACCATGGAGGATGCAATAAGGCTGCCCTCCCCAGAAATCTTTTGCAAAGGCTTTGGGAGTACCTCCAGGAAAGCTTCATGGAGATGTCCCTGGAGGATTTCCGCTCCATCCCCAGACACGTTAACAGAATTTTCCAGTAGCTGTACTGGCCGCGAATGCATCCCAAGTCTTCAGGGCAAATTAATCATTAAATGCTTGCTTTTAAACCATGTATTATATTTACAAATGTACACTCACAAGAGGTGCCTTCTCTGCCTTCAAGGTCCAGGAGCCCGGGTTGAGAGGGTATTGTCTCCTGGGTGATAAACAGTTCCTGGCTGTCGGGGAGAACGGTTTCTCTGCTTGCGTGCTGTGCGCTATCTTCAACCTCCTCATCATCATCATCTTCCTTGTCCCAAAAATCCTCATCCCCATTGCGTGAGACTCCCTGGCAGGAGTCCACGTACAGGGGTGGGGTAGTTGTAGAGGCGCCCCCTAGAATTGCATGCAGCTCATCATAGAAGCGGCATGCGAGATTTTTTCAAATATATTTGGCATTTCGTCTTTTGGAACGGAGTTCTGATAGCACAGATTCATCTCCCCATACAGCGATCAGGGTACCTCCCGTTTGGTCCATGTTGGAGCTCTTTTGCGATTCTGGGACTCCATGGTCACCTGTGCTGATGAGCTCTGCATGGTCACCTCTGCTGATCAGCTTGCCACGCTGGCCAAACAGGAAATGACATTCAAAAGTTCACAAGGCTTTTCCTGTCTACCTGGCCAGTGCATCTGAGTTGATAGTGCTGTCTAGAGTGGTCACAATGGAGCACTCTGGGATAGCTCCTGGAGGCCAATACTGTCGAATTGCATCCACAGTACCCCCAAATTCGACCCAGCGATGTCAATTTTAGCGCTAATCCCCTCGTTGGGGAGGAGTACAGAAATAAATTTTAAGAGCCCTTTAAGTCGACAAAACAGGCTTGGTCGTGTGGATGGGTGCAGGGTTAAATCGATCTAACACTGCTAAATTCGACCTAAACGTGTAATGTAGACCAGGGCTAAGGCACAAAATGAGTTATACCTAGCAAGAAACATAAAAGGGAATGAGAAGAGGTTCTTTAAATACATTGAAATCAAGAGAAAGACAAAGAAAAGCATAGGTACTATACTTAGAAGGGAAGGAGCACTTATAACTGATGATATTAAGAAGGCAGTGGTGTTTAATGCCTGTTTTGCTTCGGTCTTCATTAAAAAGGCTAATGGTGTCCAGCTACTTAATACAATTAATATGAACAAGAAAGGGGAAGGAACACAAGCCAAAATAGAGATGTACAGGTTCAAGAACATTTAGATTATTCAAGTCAGCAAGGTGTGATGAAATTCACCCTAGGGTACTTAAGGAACTAGCTGAAGCAATCTGAGAACTATTTCCAATTATATTCAAGAATTCATGGAGGACAGGTGAGTTCCTAGAGTACTGGAGAATGGCAAATATAGTACCTATCTTTAAACACGGGAACAAAGAGGACCCCAGGAATTATAGACCTGTCAGTCTAACTTCAATACCTGGAAAGATACTGGAACAAATTATTAAATAAGCAATTTGTAAACACTTAGAGGATAATAGAGTTATAAGGAGCAACTAGCATGGATTTGTCAAGAACAAATCATGCCAAACCAACCTAACTTCCTTCTTTGACAGGATGACAGTCCTAATGGATAGAAAGAAAGCAATAGATGTGATATATCTTGATTTTGATACAGTCCCACATGACATTCTCATAAGCAAACTAGGGAAATGTGGTCTAGATGAATTTACAACAAGGTAGGTGCACAACTGGTTGGAAAACAGTATTCAAATAGTAGCTATTAATGGTTCACTGTCATAGTGGGAGGGTGTATCTAGTGATTTCATTAATAATTTGCATAATGGAGTAGATAATTTGCTTATAAAATTTGTAGATGACACCAAGCTGGGAGGGGTTGCAAGCACTTTGGAGGGCAAGATTAAAATTCAAAAGGACCTTGACAAAATGTAGAATTGGTCTGAGTTCAACAAGATAAAGTTCAGTAAAGATAAGTGCACAGTACTTCATTTAGGAAGGAAAAATCAAATCCACGACTACAAAATGGGAAACAGCTGGCTAAGTGGTAGTACTAGAGTAAAGGATCTGATTGTTACAGTGGATCACAACTTGAATATGAGTCAACAATGTGCTACAGTTGCAAAACAGGCTAATATTTTAAGGGTGTAAGAACAGGAGTGTTGTATGTAAGATTCAGGAGGTAATTGTCCTGCTTTACTCAGCCCTGGTGAGGCCAGAGCTGAGTACTGTGTCCAGTTCTGGGCACAACAAAGATGTGGATAAATTGGAGAGAATTCAGAGGAGAGTAACAAAAATCATAAAAGTACAGAAAACCTGACCTATGAGGAAAGGTTAAAAAACTGTTTAGTCTTGAGAAAAGAAAAACAAAACTGGTGGGAGTCCCAACAGTAGTCTTCAAATATGTTAAGGGCTGTTATAAAGAGGACTCTGATCAATTGTTTTCCATGTTTATTGAAGGAAGTGATTGGCTTAATCTGCAGCATGGGAGCTTTAGGTTAATTATTTGGAAAAGCTTCCTGTTCTTTCAAGGGGGGTTGTGGAATCCCCAACATTGGAGTTTTTGAGAACTGGTTGGACAAATACCTGTCAGGGATGGGTCGAGGTTTACTTGGTCCTGCCTCAGCGCAGAGGGCTGGACTTGATGACTTCTTGACGTCCCTTCTAGCCCTATATTTTTATGATTCTATATGACAGTAAAAAACTGCCAGGCACATAGCATGCAGCCCTTAACATACAGCGGAGAGCATGGGTTTTTTTAAGATCTCACTCAAAATATGCACAAATAGTAAACTGCACAAAGCACTCTTTATCTGTTTCTGGAGGATGAAAAGCTGAGTCAGCTCGGCCAGAACTTGAACCTGTGGTTCTAGAGGGTCTAATTGTTGCAAACTTCAGAAGTCATGTTTATCCCCTAATACCCTCCTATAATGTAAACGTTTCTTTGATTTAGAGCCAGCTGTGACTCTTGTCCCTATGTCTTTAATGGGATGTACGAAAATCTTGGATTGAAAGGCCCCAGATTTTAAAAAAGTTCAAATCTGGAGCCAAATATTGCATCTCAGACCCATCTCTGTCCAGGACACAGCAATTCAGGCAGCCAGCAACTTACAGGTTTTCTTATGTTTTTTTTTTTTCCCCCTTAAAGGGGCCTGTTTATAAAGACACATCACAAATGCACGCCTACGTTGCCTTGTACAAATTTGTACCACAAGAGAACGAAGACTTGGAGATGAGGTAAAGTGCTGTCATATTTACTTATTGATTTGACCCAGGGAAACTGAGAATGGTGCAGATTTAAATCAGTGTTGTACTTTTAATTCTAATTTTTGCTATGCTATTTGCATTATATTATTTATATATATAATGGTCTCACAGCTATTTAATTATGTATCTTTTCCCTCTTTCTACTTATGAAAATGATGCAGAGCTGGGGAGAAGCTTTTTACAAAGAAAATAATGGGTAAAACTTTCAAGTCATTTTGGTGCCAAAGTCCAGTGACTTTGGCGCTTTTGAAAATTATGCTCCCATTCAATGACTTTCAAGCTTGACAAAGCCCGGGCTGGGATGATTTAGTTGGGGATTGGTCCTGCTTTGAGCAGGGGGTTGGACGAGATGACATCCTGAGGTCCCTCCCAACCCTGATATTCTATGATTCTAATGAGACTTAGGTTCCTAAGTGCTGAAATCTCTTTTGGGATGGTTGAAAAAATTTTAACAGAAAATTGGATTTTCAACTAAATAAATATTTTTGCAGAAAGTGTCTGCTTTCCTTGACATTTTAGATTTTTTTTAAATCAGAAAATGACAAACTTTCTTTTGTTTTGGCCAAAAGATTTTCAATTTTCAGCAACCAAAAAACTGAAAAAGTATCCGGTTTTAAATTTAGGGGATTTTGACAAAAAAAATTTCCACAGGAAAAAGTATCCCCATTTTCTAACCAGCTCTAGTAACAATGTTGGAACTTCTACCAGTGTTATTTAACTGATTGCTCCCTCCCTGACTTCCCACCGCCCGCACCCCCAGGGACTTTGTCTCAGAAAAGGGGAATGAGGAGGATCTCAAGATGGCGAATGGCTGCTATTGTGTTTTCTTTTACATTATATGGAAGGTTGGTCTGAATTGCAAAATCTTCTGGTTCAAATATATTTTCTTTAGCACTTTTTCATGTAACCCTGCACTGGTGCTGCTTTGTCCAGTCTCACAGGGCCTGTTCCAAAGCCCCACTGAAGTCAAAGGAAATCTTTCCATTTACTACCGTGGGCTTTGATGCAGGCCCACAGTGAGTAGATTGTTGCAGAGACTTTAATAGGCTCTAGGAGTGCTGTCTGCTTTGGGCACTGTTCACAAAACATATCCGCTCTTTTCATGCTTTACCCAAGATCAAACCAGTTGGATGCTGACTCCAATAAAATATACTTACAAAGTCATTCAAGAAAAGTCTGTGCCCTCTCCTTGCTCAAGACAGAGCTATCATTTTGCATGGCTGGCATTTTTCCATGATTGCTTTGTTTCAGGTGTGATAACTGGATAGAAAATAGCCACATGCAGGATGACACTTGCTAGGAATCCAGAGCTGCTATGTCTAAATGCTCTGCATGTTGGACTTTCATTTTGCATTGTTGGTTTATTTTGGTTTACGCACTCACTCATTCAATTACAAAGGACCACCATTTAAAAATGTAATGTAACCACCCTCCCCAACCATGTCTAATAACCCAGAAGTTGAACCACGGACGTAAGAGCTTACCATCCCCGCCAGAGTCCTCCCACTCCCATACAACAAGGTATAAAAGTGTGCCTTGCAGTCTGTCCTGATGGTTGATAAACGAGGACTGCTTTGGATTGACTTGCCTTCTCTGTTGAGATGCCAGCTAAGTTTTTGATTAGTGACACTTGTTATGGTGGTAGGTTTTGTTGTGTGGCCAAAAGCCACCACAACGAAGAGCATCAAATAGCCACCAGATAACAATGCTGTTTGGTCGCTACTGACCTGGGCTGGATTCACATTGCTCACTACGGGTTAGATTTTCATTTAAACCAATGGGAGTAAGACACGTAGATGGTTTTGAAAATTCCACTAGGCACCTGTGGATTGCCTAAATACCTTTTTAAAAGCTTGCCCAAAGCACTTTAAAAATGTTGGCAAGCATTATTATCCCCATTTGATAAAGGGGAAAACAGAGACAGAGAAATTAAAGACTCAGTCTCTTAACTTTAATGGGAGTTGGTCTAGCTTTTAAGTGGCGTAGCTTGGAATCAAACCCAGGTCTGATGTGCCGTCTCTAGCAGGCACTGTCCAAACAGTTCCTGACATGTTCCAAAAAGACTGGAAGCTTTATGGTTCTGTGATGTCATCACTCTTGTACAATGAGTTCAAGATAGGATGTGGGGAAAGCTGGAGAAATTAGGGTTCGGCTATTGCCCATTAATTTCAGCAAAACCCCCATAACCCCAAGGAAAGGCTTACACCCAGCAGAACAGAGCTCTTGGAGCTGGTCACATTGGGAAGTGGGTAGAACTTGCGTCCAACAGCACAGTGTGTCATGTTTGTGTAACAACTTGATGCAGCATCAAAGTGGGTCTTCAGATATCTGCTGAACTAACGCTGCAATATTAGGGATGAGCCCAGCAGACTTAAATATGGCAAGTTGGAGTAGGCTAATATTTCTGGCCAAATTATTCTCCCAGCCCGAGGCTGGAAATAGTCAGCTGGCTTATGATACCCAGCAATTACAGCATGACTCCATGCATTATAAAGGTAAATATGTCCCATTTGAATCAAAAAGATATTTGTGTAGAATTACATCCCTGCTGATTAATTATATTTGTCAGTTAAATAAAACTGGTTTCTTGCTGCCTTCCTTTAGCAGTAACAGCATGAGAACCTGGCTGATAAGATTCTGTGTCCCAACAATATTTAATGCCTTCATGTAACATGGTGATCCCTGGTACAAATAGGTATTTCTAAGCAGTTTCAGACTAAATTGGAAGCAAAGTACATCACACAGGATTTTTCATTTTACTACAAAGATCTTTCTATAAAAAGGAGCGGTGGAGATTGTGTATTCTAAACTGGGATGTCGGGTTATAATTGCTGAGGTAGGGTGAAATTTGGTTTAATATATCACCCACCACTTTCACAGCCATTTACTGCTCCTGTTGAAGTCAGTAGCTAAACTGAATGGGAATAAGGCTCAGACTGTGTGGATCAAACCTCAGGGCCATATTGTGTCTGGTCCTAGAATGGATGAAGTTGGGGGAGGGCTGCAGGAGCCTTCTCTCTGCCAAGTGCCTGCATTAGCCAGGCACAATAATAGTCCTTCCACTCTAGCGAGCACAGGAAATCCTCCCTTTTAGCCCTGTGGGTACAAATTACACCAAAGGAGCTAGGGGAAAATGGGGGTCATGGCCATGTGCCCCCCAACTTCCACCTAATGCAACCCTCACCAGTCCATGGCTACAGGAAGGAGAAGACTGCCCCAGTCTACAGAATGATGTTACACGCACTCTCCCTTGCCATCTATCAGGTTGCTGGGCCAGAGATTATGCTTGAGACAAAATACCTCAGGGTGTTCATCCTGGTATTGTACCCTGCCAAACTACCTCTAATGTGAGCCAGTGCAAAAAACACAGGGCCAAATCCTCAGCTGATATTTATCAGCACAGCGCCACTGACTTCATTGTGTCTCCACTCAGCTGCAGGTAAAAAATGTTACAGCTTGTGGGAGTATCAGCAGAGCCATTCGGGACCTAATAGCGCTGCCTTGGCATCAAAATACACAGGAGAATTCAATGGGACAAATTTTGCACCCAGTTACAATGGTACAACTACGTTAGCGTCACTGAGCTATGCACTTGTATAACTGAGAGCAGAGTTTGACCCTCTCTCGCCTGGAAGATGGAAATTTTGCTTCTGTGCTCATATCTGACTTAGGAAGTTCTCATTGCTTCATAGATCCACATGTAGTGATTAATCAGATATAATGATCAAGGCTGGGTTACACTTCTAGGAGAATTTCACTATGAATGTTGATGTGCTTGTGCAATTAAGACACATCTTAATCGAAATTCCCGACATCTGTCTTTTCTAATTATAGACCAGGTGATATGATCACACTGCTGGAAGATTCTAATGAAGACTGGTGGAAGGTACGAGCCAAATACTCTATATCCTTTAACAAAATAAATGAATGGTATTTATGATAAGTATGAAGGTCATTCTTCTGTCAATGTGCTTGCTCCATAGGGGAGAATTGAGGACAGAATAGGATTTTTCCCCGCTAATTTTGTTCAGAGAGTGCAACAAGACGAAAAGATTTTCAAGTGTGTCAGAACATTTATTGGATGCAAGGAGCAAGGACAGATTACTCTGAAAGAGAACCAAGTAAGTGAAGTATACCATTTACTGTACATTAAGGGCATAGTTCTGCATTCCTTGTGTACCCAGTAATCTGCTTGACTTCATTAGAAGTTTTCGGTGTGCAAAGAAATCATGAGGAGACTCTTTCACAGCACATAGTATTTTTTTCAGTAAATATTATTTGTATTGTGGTAATACCTAGTGCACAGTCAGGATCATGGCCGCATGGTATGTACACTAGAGCTGTGTATGAAACTGTTTTTTTTTCATCCCCTGATAGCTTTCAAGATTTTAAAATTTCTTCAGATGCCAACTCAGGCTGAAAAATCAAAATGTCAAAAATTTGCATGAACATGTCTGGAAACAAAAGTCAGATCAGGCTGATCTAAATGTTTCCTTTCAATAATTTTGATACATTTCATTTATATTGGCCTTTTTAATCCTTTATTTAATATAAATTAACTCAAAAATGTCAAAACAGTAATTATGAACCAGAAAATGAAACTCTTTGTGTTGACAATTTCAAAACAAGATGTTTCAACCATTTATAAACTTAAAAAAATAATAATAATCAGGAGATTTATGAAAACCAACCCTTTCCCACAAACAGTTTCAGTTTTGACAGATCAACATTTTTCCACTGAAAAAATGTTTTCAGAAAATTCTGACCAGCTGTAACAAACACTGAGAGGACAGACTGTGCCTCAAAGAGTTTATGGTCTAAATCCTCAATCCCACAAAGATTTATGGACATGGTTAATTTTACAGACTGTGAATTGTCCTAGTGACTTCAGATGGGTCAACAAACAATGCATAAAGTTAAGCACATATATAAGTTTGTTGCAGAACTGGGGCTTAATTTAAGACAAGACTCAACAAATGTGTTTAACAGACAAAAGGAGGGAAGGGGAGGCTGAGGGTAATAGTGACGGGAATGCTGATACATGGGGCAATATGTGAACAACTAGAGGCTCCCAAATAATTCAGGATGGGATTTTCAAAACTGCTTTGCATTGGGCCTGACCTTGCTCCCACAGATGCCAATTCCCAAAGGCTTGACTTCAAAGGGAGCAGAGTTAAGATAACAACATCCTTAGAGATCTTTTAATTATCATTTTAAATGCCTTCTCATTCCATAACTCCTTGTGCCTCTCTTTCCCCCTCATTGCTACACACTGATTTTTTAAAAAAAAATTAAAAACACCCCTGTTTCAAATGTTTACTGTACATCAGTTTGGACTCTCACAAGCTATTCACTCTGAAGGTCTTTGATCAAATCTTCCTCTTTAATGTTGTTTTTAAATGTGCACACAAAATGATGGGCATATCTTCCATCTGGGGATATGCCTTTGGTGTGTTCTTATTTCAAATTTGGTTTTATAACTACTTTTCCTGAACATTGAATGGATCCAGTTGAAGTCAATGGAGGGCTTCTATGGGATTGCACTGGTGTAAATGAAAGCAGAATCTGGCCCATTCTACATTAAAAGAACATCAGCACTGTGACAAACACAGTAACATAACTAAGGCAACAAACAACTAAGGGAGAAAATATAGTCAAGGTTCTCTGATGCGAATGGACATCAGCTTGAAATCTTTCTCAGTGTATCCTGTTAAAGATAATTATTTTCCCCTCTTCATGGGGCTTTTTCTTTCCTTCGGAGATTTGCATCACATCTCATATCCCTAGGGGCCAAATTCTGTGCTGACTTGCACTCTGCAATGCCACTGACCTTAATGCGGTTGAATGGGGGAGGAGGGTCTAGGTCAGCGTAAAATTTGGCCCCTAATGTTTCTTTAATGTAGCATTTGCTTGTGACATTTGTTAGCACTTCAGTTTGATGGTGGGTTAGGATATTTCACCCCTTTGATGTAGAAGAATGTCTAAATGCTAACATTTTGTGGCAACATCATCCCTGTAAATAAGACATTGGAAGAGCACTCAGATTATATAGTTTGACTGCCTCCTGCAGCAAGTACATTAGGCAACGCTGAAGCTGTTAAAGTGAGATGAGCTGCATGAAGTATTTTACCATCACAGTAAATTAATGCAAATATCTTCGCTGTGATCCTGATTTTCCACTGCCCTGCACCTTCTGTGGTTATTTTCATCTGCACAAAAGGATAGAAAAACATGATCCAGTCAGGATAGGAGGGGTTTATACCACTTTGCACTGGTGTAAATTACTAGGTAAGGGGGAAGGGAGTGGGGAATCTACCCTGGGCAATTTGATGTGTCAACATGAAGGTAGATTGACAGATGATTTGTGCGATTAAATCAGATTATAATGTTAAACACATGATATCCTGTCTGTTAACATGACTACCATTGTAAATGCTATGGATCAATTTTATTGTATCATTTCCCATCAAACTATTATTTCTAAAAGGTCCGATATAAAGTCTGGCACTTGTCTCTAAACATGAAACCATCCTATTGTCCTTCTTTCACAATAGGAGTGTATGGGAGCTATCATCAGGAGCAGTTCATTGTTTCAATTCAATATATGAGGTGAATAGAGATAGACTAATTCATCCTGTCTGTCAACCCCTTCGTTCCCTTTTAGTAAGGACAAGCAAACTCGTCTTGCTTAATTCCAAACCCATGCAAACACTGAAGTTCAACCTGAATGCTATGGGGTTCTCTGTCTGCTTAGGAGAAGCTGGGGGAAAGGGAGTGAAGAGGGAGAAAACATGTTCAACAGAAAATAGCACAGAGCTCAGGCAGAGTGAGCAAGTAAATGCAGAGGGATCTGGGGGAAAGATGTAGAGACTGTGAACAAAATCTAACGAAGCAATAAATGTAGGGGGTCAAATTATGATCAGCCACTTCAAGGAGATGCAGAAGGGGAGGTGCAAGGAATATCCAGGCCACTTTGCACAACTTCCACAAGGGTCATTCTGTCACAATTCCTCCAGGAATCCCTCTCACCATCCTGGGACTATCCCTGAGGTGGTCTGACCCCCACACAGGGCTGTACTTAACTGGCACAAGTCTGAGTCATTGAACTTTAAAAAAAAAAAAAAAAAAAAACAGAGACCTGGCCCATTGAGTTTAATGTGAGCTTCTCATTTTCGAATACAGTGCTTGTCACCAAGGGCTTTCATACTGCAGGATGCTCCTGTTGATGCTTGGACATAACTCCCTGCCATGTTAATGGATGTTATGTATGCACATCAGGAAGAGAATATACAAACCATAAAGTGCTCGGTGCAGAAAATGAGGAAATTTTTGTATTCACAATATTATATCAAATCGGGAGCAAAAATTCATGATAATAGACAGGCAAAAATACAGGCTATTTTCAAATACAGGCGAAGAGGTTTTCAGTATCATAGGCACCCTGGGCATGTCTGCCTGTGTCTTTGCTTTGCATGGTTTCAAACACTTTGAGTTCCAGGTTCATCCAAACTTTTGTGGTAAAGCTGATGCTAAGAGTATGTCTCCACAGCCCGCAGAAGCAGGCCTCTGAGCTTAGATCAACAGACTCAGGCTAGCAGGGCTCGTGCTAACATTGTATAGACAGCATGTTGACATTGCAGCTTGAGCTGGAGTTTAGCTCTGAAACCTAGGGAGTGGGGTGGGTGCTAGAGCCTGAGCCCCAGCCCAAGCCACAACTTCAAAGCACTGTCTACATCACTATTTTTTAGAATCTAGGACAAGCCACTCTAGCCAGAGTCTGTAGATTTGGGCTGGGAGGCCTGCTTCTGTGGGCTGTGTAGACTGACGCGAAGGGGGAGAAGGGAAACAGCACATTTTGCTCCTCCGTCTCTTGCATTATGTAAGGGTTCCACTTAACATAAGAGCTCTTGAAAAATTCATTATGAAAGATGAAACTCAGCCTGGGAAAAAAAGCATTCTTCAAAGACATCAACATTTTTCATGCTAGGGTACAGTGACAGGCTTGTGTGGGTTGAAACTGGTTCAGAAGAAAAATTTCTCTATAGGGCTCAATTTTGCGCCTCCTAGAAAAAAAATGTGCATGCAGTGTTGTAGCCCAGGCTATTAGAGAGACAAGGTGAGTGAGATACCATCTTTTATTGGACTAACTTCTGTGGGTGAGAGAAGCTGGTCCAATAAAAGATATTACCTTCTAGAATAAAACGTGAGTTTTGCTGTTGATTTCAGGAGAGTAAGAGCAGGCTCTTATTTTTGAGTTTGAAACCAAAGCTAGACAACTTTTGCAGCTTTTCTGATTTTGAAACAAAACTCTTGCACGACACTAGTTGTGTAAACTTTCCCATGTGAGACTGTGTCCTCAGCTGGATGTGAAAATCTTTCTCTAGCCTGAAATGTCTGACCCAGCATATCAGTTCAATAACACACATTCTACAGCCTTCCCCTTATACCTTAGCAGGTCTTAAGTGAACCTCTGCTCAAAAAAAGAAATTTGCATCTTGAAACATATCTAAATATATATCCCTATGCAATCTATGTTTGAAAAATAACATTAACAATAACATTTACATTTTGACCATAATGGCCTTTAAAGGACTCAGAATAATCTATTGTTTTGAATCTCTGTTTATTATTCTCCCTAATTTCTTATTTAAAACAAAGGAAATGAACACTGGGGCAAAAAGCCTTGAAGCCAGATGGGCAGCTCCTGTAAATTGGAGTAGCACCATTGAAGTCTATAGAGCTACACCATTTTATATGAGCTGAGGATCTGGTCCCCTGTGCTTCAGAAAAAGTTGAACTACTGTAATCCAAAAGGTCCAAAGCGGCAAAGAAATTCACACCCAAGGCTAACAGTCATGCCTTTCATCCAGTCCTTTGCTTCTTGGATAAGCAGATGCCTTCAAAAAGGAGAATTGTAATTTTCCATAGCGTACAGTGCAGCAAATCACAGAGGAGTACTTAGAGAGAGAAAAACCAAGCAGAAGGATCGATGCATTTATCAAAACACAGCCCTGTAAATTGTTTCTGTTACATAAAGAACCTCCCAGGAAAGAGCCATTGCTACAACGAGAGAACTAGAGTCTGTGCTTATAACCTGACACTGCTACATAGCAATATTGTACTGACATGCTGTTATAGCACCAAAGTCCAATAACTGGACAGAATCTCAGGGCCTTGTACTAATCCAGCTTTAGGCTTTGCTGTCCCTAAGCACACTGAAACCCATGGAGCATGCTCCCAGCCTAGCTCCAAAACACAGAAGCCTACATTTTCCAAATTAACTAGTAATTTTGGGTAGCACAGTTTTTGAGTTCCCATCCTGAAATATTGTAAAGGGGCCTGATTTTCACTTGATAGTTGCTCAGCACTGTCTGAAAACCAGGCCCCTTTAAGGTATCTCAGGAACCTAAAATTAAGATTCCCCCCAAAAAAAACACTAAATTATATTTGAAAATTTAGGCCAAACTAACTTCCCTCAGATCGGTGGAGGGCAGATCTTCCTCCAGGCCATTCCTGGAACTGAAGTTATCCATGTCTTGACAACTTGAAATCTGTGTCCCTGTTGTATTAAAGGGACTGGCTAACACAGAGGATTGAGAATAGACTCTGTAGCCTTGCATTAGTCTGTTAATGATTCAGTCTAGCCCGATGGGTAGTCATTACCATCTGAACGTTCTTTGGTAACCTGTGTGAAACGAGCGGGTGCTATCAGTCCAAATGCTAGGGAGCTAGTGGGCACAAAATACATCACCCCAAAAGGCATCCTGGCAGGCAGTTTCAATCAAGAAGCAAAAAGAATGAATGGGGCGATTGAACTACCCTCCTTCAGTCCACAGAGTTGGTGATTTCAGGCCAGGATTGAAGTGCATTGGCAAGAAAACGTAGGGACGCGGACACGGCCGCACCAGTTTTACAGATAAATCGAGGGCATCAGCCTCCAGGACTGTCAATCGGATACCTTTCCAAAGTTCTAAATTCCCGCAAGAAACTGTAGTGAGTTTGTATCCAAATTACGATTCAATGGAAACCAAGGCGTGGCATGGCAATGAGAAATGGTATTTTAAGACATGCAGGAGCCAGGGGAACATTCTGGGGTGAAAATAAGAGACAGCAGTGAAAATCAGCAAAAGCTCAGAGTTGCTGCTGGACAAAGGGCATTTTCCACTTGGGGCTTTCCACTTGGCAAAATGCAAAGTCTAGGACTCATGTGATTTGGAGTCTATTAATAAACAGTGCAGTTTAAAAGATCGTTTCCAAATCATTCATCTTGCCCATCTGTTAAGAGGAAAGTGATGGACAAGAATTCTTCAGGGTCAGAATATGCTGCCAAGTTCAGGGAACAGTCAGGATCCCAGCAAATTTTTTTTTAAAATAGAACGGAAACAAAGAATTGGGCCGTGACTTTCTAATATTAGATCGTGTTTTCTGCCTCCAGTTCTCTCCTTGGACCACCCGCTATCTTAGCCGTAGCCTGGGAAATGGGCACTTTCTAACCTCATGAACCCTTTCTAACCTCATGAACCCGCGGCAGGTTTTCAGTGTCTGTATTGTTAATTTCTTGGGGAGTTGCTTCCCAGCTGCTCCCTGGTTTTGGCAGCATGAGCAGGTGCCATTTTAAGAAGATTTCAATTTGATACAGCAAGCTGTAAGTGCCCAACAGTCTCTCACTCTCTTCCCCCGCCCCCCCCCCATCCCCCAGCCACAATATTGTTTGGCGTTTATCAGCGGCACTAGTTCCACGTAGCAGCTGAAGCACTGTGCGGGGTCCCAATCGAATGTGACAGTTGTTAGCAATAAGGGGCTTCAGTCTCCATTAATTTAGATGCCTTTTACAGTGCTTTAACAGAGTTACTCCTGATTTACCCCTGAGCAAGATAAGAATCGGGTCCAAGGATTACAGCTTGCAGCCAAAGCTTGAAGCTGGCCAAGCTCTGGTCCATGCAGGACCCCCTGAGAGGTAAAGGAAGGGAAAAAACAGCTTAAAGCCACCTTTGCATTCCCACAGTCCCTGAGGATGCTAGGGCTTGATTTGGCCCCCTGCACAACTTGTAGCTCCTGATTTAAGTTCTGGCAGCTGCTACAGCCTCCTTAGACCTGATGTCTGGCAAGGGATTGCCAGGGCACAGTGTGCCCATTTCTGCCCCAATACATCCTATTCACTGGAAATGGGCAGCAGAGTGCCAGCTGGAGGCTCCCACAGGTAAGACCTAGAGTATCACAAGCTTGCAAGAGACATGTAATTTGGACAGGCAGTCCCTTACAGGGATTAGAAAGGAATATTTTTCCCCAATGCACAATTGGCCAGATGTATTCTGTCTTTGCTTTATTGCCTTCCTCTGAAGCATCAGGGATTGACCACAGCTGAAGAAGGCCACTGGACAGGGGGTACTGGTGTTCTGAGGTGATAGAGGCTCTTTCTTAGAGGCCTGGCTGGAATATCTTGTTCATGGGCTGAGGGTCCAACTGATCACCAGATCTGGGGTTGGAAAGAATTTTTTTCCCCCAAGTCAGATTTTCAGGGACCTTAGATTTTTCTCGCCTTTCTCTGTGGCATGGAGTGTGGTTCACCTGCTAGGATCATTTGGGTCTAACCTACCTAATCATTTCTCTGCCCCTGCAGGGGCTTGGGGTGCTGGTGACATCTCAGTAGGGCACAAAACATTTTAGTCTGAGGACTAAAATGCTTTAGTCTAATCCGAGTTACTGGGTTCAACACGGGGGTAACTGGATGAAATTTAATGGCCTGTTATATACAAGAGGCCAGAGTACGTGACCTAATGCTCCCTTTATCTCTATGAAACTATATCCTCCCACCTAATTAGGCGCTAAATCTGCCCCAGTTTCATAAAAAGAAAAGGAGGACTTGTGGCACCTTAGAGACTAACAAATTTATTTGAGCAGAAGCTTTCGTGATGCAAATACAGACTAACACGGCTGCTACTCTGAAACCCACAGTTTCATAGAGGGTGTTACCATTGACAGCAGTGGGAGCTCTGAAGGGAATCAGCAGCAAGATCAAAAACCTTTTGAAAGCCCACCTTGCCCTTGTTCAGTTATTGCAGAGGGGGATGAAATGAGAATTTTTTGAGTATGTGAATAAGTGATTTTCTTTGACCCACAAAGAATTATGCTCATTAGAAGTTAGGCATCTAAATATCTTCGAGGATCTGAGCCTATATGTATGTAGAATACCTACCAGAATTGGGCCTTAATCTAAGATGAGGCATTTTAGGTACTACTGTAATAAATATAAGTCATCATCCAGCCGAAAATTATGCAATTAGATATATTTTAGGGCCATGTGTCAGTTGCAGGTCCTCTGAGTAACTAAATATTGCACATACTGGCAGCATATTCTCCCCTGTACAGAGACAACACCATGAAGTGATTGTTCACCTGGCACGGCATTAAGGATGCAAGAGTCCATGAGAGATACTGTTCAGTGCCCCACATCACTGCTGTGGATGCATCTGTTTTATGCCCAACTTTAGAATGCTGTTTGATTTCAATAGCTTGTTTGCTGGAAGTATTCAGATCCTTAGTGCCACATTGTTCACCGTTGGCTTACATTTCTGAAAGAGATTTGGGGTGCTTTGTTTGTTTGTTGCTTGCCCAGTTGATAAACTTTATAGGGCCTGAGTTTTAGAAGACAGCTGCTCAGTAATGTGTAAAAGGCAGGCCTCTTAAAGGTGTCTCAAGCTGGGCCCTCTAGAACTACACTACCTAAAATCACTAGTCACTTCAGAGAATATATTATTTAACCTTACTATTGTAGGAGAGTCCAGATGCTTCCCTCATGACTGGCTCCCACTGTCATAGACGCTCTACAATCACACACACAGATAGTTCCTGCTTCAAAATCCTTGATTGAAGACACTTCCCACCTATGTCAGAGAAAACTGCAGGTGTATATTGGCACTTCAAAGGGAAACCCTTCATCACTTTATATGTGGAGGTGGAGTTTCTTCCATTTGGAGTTCAAATATAAAGGGGACAGCTCTATATACAGGCTTTATAAGCACAAGTCTCCCCCACACAGTAAGTACTCGCTCGTGGAATAAAGTGGCTGTTTATCTGAATATTTCTCCCCCTCTTTAACTTCAGATCTGCGTGACTTCTGAAAAGGAACGCAATGGCTTTATCAAAGTTTACTGTGGGAAGAAGAAAGGCTTTGTCCCCCTAGACGTCTTAGAAATCATCTGATTTCAGCACTGCACTTACTGCAGTAGGAAAGCTTTGCTGGCAATGCCTGTCTGCCTCATCTCACACTGTGTCAACCCCGCTGGGCCGTCTTGCAGATGATCAGGGACTAGTGAGATGACCGCAGCAACAAAAAAGGACACTTAGACTGTTACAGCAACAAGAAATAAAAAAGATAAAAGGGTTGATTAAAAGAATATATCAGGAAACCTCCAGGGGGAAAAGGGGCCAAGGAAAGTAAAAGGAATAAGGTAAGAAATGGCTGGACTAGCTCATTTCCAGTGCAAGATGACTATTAATTATCCTGATGGAGACAGGACAGACAGCTGTTCTGAAAAACTAACCTCATACCTGCTCATCTGTCTTCAAAAAAACTGTTGGAGTGCGTTTTTGTTTAAAGTGTGATTTCGGGGGGGGGGGGGAGGGAGGGTCAAACTGTCCTTGTAGTACAGTCTGATCTTGTAGTAAAGTGTGACTATGATTCTAGAGTTTTGTCCACAATATTAGCCAAACAGCATAGTGTTTAATCCTGATGTCAAGTCTCATAACAAAGCAGTTTGGAGGCACTGTGTAAACGTCAGTCTGAGACGTTAATGCACCATTGTCTAGACGCCAACGACTTTCTTTCTCTCTATGCTCGGACTGTACAAAAGAGCGGCCAACTTCTACGTCCTTTGCTTTCTTTGTATACAAACAAAACTCTTGGCACATGTTGGATGTAACAGCTGCTCTGGTAGCTGGTAGCTGACAAACTTAAAGTCCCTCCTGTTCAGAAGGCCAGGCTAGAAGTATTCCTCAGTGATCCCTGTTCCTTTATCTGGTGGCAGAGAAAGTGTCAGAAATACAGAGCTGAGTGAGAGCCCCATGCTTGAAAAGTTTTCTATTTTTCTGGAGTATTAAATTTGAAGAGATTTTATATATTGAGCCTGTTTATAAGTAGTAGATGGCCAACCAAGCCCCTTCTAGAGTGAAAAAGCTAGTAAGTAATTGATGGTGAAGCCAGGAATCCTCCCATTCCAGGATCAGTGAGAGAGAGAGAAATAAACTAAGGTATCATTTAATTATATTAACATGAAGTCTCTTGCTTCATTGACTAGACGGGAGCTTTTAGGAATCAGACTAAGCTAAATTCTGCCTTCACACACATGCAAACCCTGCTGATGCCAGTAAGGTTGCAAGAGGTGTCTGTCAGGACAATGTTTGGCCTACTGATTGTGTCATGTAGGCCCCAGTCTTGTAATCTGTTCTGTACATATGAACTCCTGCAATGGTCTCTGTGCAGGTATTAGAGTCTGCCAGTGCAGATCAGATTGCAGCATCAGGGCCTTGGTCTATTGGGCTCATAATATTTTCCACTTAAGTTCTTGCTTTTGTTGTCCAGCCTATGACAGAACCCTACTCTATATTACTACCGGGGTGCTGGAACAATTTTTATAGTGGGGGTGCTGAGACCCATTGAACCAAACTGTAAACCCTGTATATAATGGAATCCACTTCAAGCCAGGGGGTACAGCAGCACCCCTAGTTCCACTTCGCACCTATGATTACTACTAGAGGTAGACCCAAATCAAAAGCCTAAATCCACATATTCCCACACAAAGGAGAAGTTTCAGATCTGCATCTGAACTTCGCACGTGGCCACACTCTCTAAAATGGGCTGAACCACACAATCCTGCAATCACACACTGGAGAATTGTGAATCTGTATCCATAAGCCCTGGTCCTGCAGCTAGAGTGGCCTATATGAACTGTCCATGCAGAGCCTTCCTGAGGATAACGGGGTTCCAGTCAGCCTCAGAGGTCCACCCAGTGTGCAAGATCAGAGCCAGACATTGTCGCGCTCGTCTGGCTCTCGTTATTGTGGCAGTGTTTGCTGCTGAACCATTTTTCTTCAGAGCTAATGTAATGTAAACAAATCCCATGTCATTTCAGACAGTGTTCAGTGAGGAGATCAAAGATATATAAATGGCCTTTTTCCATGTAAACAATGAACTACTTTAACTCCGCTTATTTTCCAAGGTGTTGAGAAAACTCCTGCGGGGGAGTGAAGATGCTGATATGGCTTAGAGACCAAGAGGAAAAGCAGCAGAAATGTTATTAATCCATCCTGTTTTATAATAGGATTTTATTTGATATTCACCAATTTTAAAAAAATCTCAAATGCCTGTTACAACTCAAATTATTGCTTCCTTTGGTCCAGCCTGTTATGCATAAGACTAGGGAAATCTGTTTTAATCTATACATATATGCTCTTGTTTACATGATTGCATCATACTGTCACTCTTATTATTTCAGTTTCTCTCTAAAACATGCATCATACTATTCAAAGAATATGAACATTAACTACAATTCACAATGGCCTTGAATCAGTGTCAGTTTGATTTCTTTTGATACCAAGCAATAAATAATAAAGTGACTGAAAAACCCCTAAGTGGATTACATCATGGTGGAGCAAGCATTGCTTTCTAAATAAAAGCTTTCATGGTTATTTTTACTTTTTCCTTTTCTGTCATTGTTCCATGTGTATTTTGTCCCTGATTCAGCAAGTTGCTTATGCATGTGCCTAGCTTTAAGCAGAAGAGTAACCAATGGATCATATGCTTGAAGCCAGGCACTTGCTTAAACGTTTCACTCATCAATTTTGGAGACCTTACTTTGATTTCAGATTGGCATTCCATAGTTTTTTCTACCACGTGCAGTTCATCATCGATATTTGCATTAATAAACAGATAACGGTCCAGTCCATCATTGCGGCTGGCCTATCTGGCACTTGCTCAGATAAACTGTATTTTAGGAGATAAGGGTTGTTCATATCTAATTTTATATTTTGCTTAAATAAAGAACATGCAACAGCTGGCTGGAAGGAGAACACGTGTTCCAATCTTTTCATTGCAATGGGTATTTTATGATTACAGAGATATCAGAGCACTTACTGCAGGCATCAGCAACAGGGGCTGTTGAATACTTTCATTTAAACCCTATAGGGCTTGCTCCTGCCCTCACTGGCGTTTCTCCTTTGAAACATTTCAAAAACAGTTCTTCTGTAAAATAGTTGTATAGACAGGATGGTGCAGTGTGGAATAAAGGTTTTGTTTTATCAGTGCAGATTTGGGATAAGCTACATCAATCACGGACTGCCAGTCATGAGTAATGCAGCATCTCAGACATAGACCACTATCACCTTTATATCATACTCATTCTTCTATGCCTCAGTGACCTCCTATGGAACTGTAGTCTACAATGCACAATTAGATTGTGGAACTCATCGCCACATGCTATAATTAAGGCGATCAGATTTAAAGAAATCTAAAGCACAATTTAAAGAAAGACTAGAAGTGTATGGATAACAAGATATCCAGAGTTATACTAGTACATATTTTTAAGAGTTTTGAAGGGATATAAAACCTCATGTTGCAGGGCCTAAACCAATCTCTAGTTATTAGGGGCTAAGAGAATAATTCGCTCGGGATCAGCTTATACTATTCCTAAGAGTTGCATGGAAAGCTCTATGCACAAAAAAACATTTACTGTGCACAAGAAGTTTTATTAGTCCTGCAAAACCCAGGAACAATGCTGCATATTTCTTGAGAATCATCTACAGCACCTTATGTATTAACTATTTATTTACACAGACAACTCTGTTTTACAGAGCACTCCCACTTCATCAGTCTTCATATAAAGGAAATGGAACAATTTCAATTAACCATATCAATCCTGGCTTCACTGAAGTCAATGGCAAAACTTCCACTGAGTTCAACGGGGCTTGAATTTCACCAGTAGTCACTGAAAAGATGTTACCACTCTTTCAGACCGCTGTTTTACAGCCCAAACCCATCTAGGGTGACCAGATGTCCCGATTTTATAGGGAAAGTCCTGATTTGGGGGGCTTTTTCTTATATAGGCTCCTATTACCCTCCACCCCCTGTGCCGATTTTTTACACTTGCTATCTGGTCACCCTAAACCCATCACACCTACATCTGCCTACAGCAGGGTTTCTTGCAACACTTTCTGAAGCAGCTGGTCCTTGCCACTGTCAGACAGAATACCAGACTGGCTGGACCACAGGTCTGATACACGGTGGTTGTCTGCACGATAGAAAGACATACTATTTACATATTTTCCATAAGTTTGTCTCATGCTTAAACAAGTGTTTTTGCACATCAGTGAAAGCAGGGGGAAAATGCACAAAAAGTCAGTTTTCATACTATCTGGAATAGACGGTGGTAAGAAAGATATTACCATGTATATTATTCTGTACTTCACTAGCTTATTTATAATCATAAACCAACGAAACCAGTTCATTTTATACGTTTTGTGTAGAGTTACAAATCATCATCAAGATGTGTGCAATGCGTTTTGTGAAGCACATAGTCCCACTGGAAAACATTTAGGAGCCAGGCACTCTGTGTCAACGAATTCCTCACATTTAGTTTTTTCCATAGCAAAAAGAAGATCATCTAAGTTAAGAAGTACACAAGTGTTATTTTTAAAGCCATTCTTTATATAGACATTGGTAGTGTGCTTGGGGAATAAGCATTTGGCAGACTCTGCTCACAAGAGGCCCAGAGCTGGAACAGCAGGGTTGCGGCAAGTCAACATTTAACTACGTGTCTTATGCTATTAGTCCTTTGTAGTCACAAGCATCAAATGGATGGCAAGCGCATAATCCCTTTATCATCCCGCTTTATTGACTGGTTTTCTTAATGTTTTTGGGACCTAGATACTCTGGTAAGTGGCACCCTGAGTTGGCAAGCTAAAGAGATAGAGGGTGAGATCTGCATTAGACAAAATGCACATTGATGCCGCCAACACACACTATTGTAGGCATACTCATAACAAAACACTTTCCGTTTCCAAAATGCATGCCCCTAGCTCATCACAATTAGGTTATTTTACCACAACCCTAGAACCACAGTCAGCTCGATATGTAAAACTCATCTCTTGAAATGAGCTTTCTCACTATAACAAGACACTCAAAATATCTCTCTTCACTTGGGGCTTGATGGATTTAAACAAAAAAAAGTGTCCAATGCACAGATGCTATGGTAATGGCACAATATGAAAAATCTACATCAATGAGACAGAAACAGCCCATTGGCCCAGCTAACTAAGTGTCCTGCTAGGCCACTGATACCTGATGATCAAAGGGAAGTGACACATAAATAAAGGTTATTTTAGCATCAAAACAAGCTGCAATGAGCTCCAACAATAAGAGCTCAAAACAAACAAACAATCGGGATAGCCTGCCTAAATATATATCTCAGTTGCCAACATGAAATTAATCAAGGCCCCCAAGTCCTCCAATCCAGCACTGATGATGAAGTGACAACCCCCTGCCCTGCCCGCCCCCAGATGTAGCATCAGCTCTTTGGCACCCACTCTTCCCCTACTAGCCCCAGCACAGTAGTAATTTCCCACTCACCGACCCCTTCACTATGTTGGCATGCCAGAGCCACCCTAGCGCTGAGCTATATGCTATACAGGCTGTGCATATTGCTGGGTGGCTCCGCTAAAGCCTGTCTGGCCTCCCCCCCCCCCGGCCCGGCAGTGTACGCATGACATTTCTTCTGCTGGGGGTGGGGTCTGCTGCACCCATTGGAGAAAGCACTAGATTTGTCCCCACATGACTGACAGTTAAAAATGGCAACAGGCAGCCCCACAACTTCACAGTGTGCCCCTTTTCATGACACATTACATAGCCATATGCAGACCTGCCAGTTCTTGTGTCTGTCTGCCATGGTCCAATTGTCACAACTACTATTAAACATCTGGGCCTGCCCTGAGTCACCGTTAGTGCAACCAAAACACGAATGGCTGGTGGGCTGACTGACACTTCGCCCTTGATGGTGCGTCCTTTCGCTTATGCATGCCTGCATCAGCCTCTTCCCTAAATCGAATCTATCTTGAATCTCAATTTCCCTGAAACACAGGTCCTGCATGCCTTCCCTACCAGCCACTGGTCAGCAAGCTGAGTAGGAGCATAGGGCTGATCTGAGACGGGGAGGGGCAGGCAGCAGGAGAGGGTTGCATGTCTGACCGCAAAAAAAGGGCTGCTTCTTTACACTTGGGACACAGACCACGTTTCCAAGGCCTGAACAGTATGTTTTCCTCTTGCCACCTCGCCAAGGGCTGTGCTCCTTGTGGATGGTAGCTAAGTCACTGCAAGGAATTCCTCGTTGTGGGTTTTTTTAGGCTGATGATGTTGCATCTCATTTGGCAAGTTCTGTGGCACTGGCATGGCCCTGTTGAAGTATCCTGAGACTGTCTTTGTCCCCACTATTGCAGCAAAATGTGAGATGAAATGGGAGTTTTGTTTCTCTCTCCTTAATTTTCTGGGTGGTGCTGAGGCAGCTTGCAATGTGAAGTGACTAAACTCCAACACAAGAGCCTTGAGCATCAGTTGAAGCATGTTTGCGAAGCCAGTCACTGGAGAGTGATGTGATGTACTAGCATTCACTACTTTACGGTCATCTGGGAGGTGTTGTGTTTGGTTTTTAATCTTATACGGTGAGGTTAATCAGACCTGACTAGCCCACATGGACACCAACGAAGCAGAATTCTTTGCACGGAATAGATGGTGTATAAAATTAGATACAAGCAGACTGTTATTCACACATACTCTCATCGCATGACACCCCTTGATGCTTACAAACAGCCATCAGGTATGTCATTTTATAGCAGGGTGGGCGAGGCTAGGGTGACACTATAGGGACAAATATTACATGTGGTATGTATCTTATAAACAGCCATCCAAATTAATATAGTGCTAACTGGACTAGCCACTTTGTCAGGTGCTGCAGCTGGCAGAATCAGGCCTTTACCATTTAAGATTGCTCATAAATGGGGAAGGATGGGCTTGGGGTTTAGTCACTGAGCTAGGGCCCAGGAGATCTGGGTGCAATTTTCAGCTCTGTCAGACTCTCTATGTGACCATGGGCCACTCAATTAGAACCAGATTTTGAAAAGTATTTAGGCACCTGAGGATACAGATAGGTGCCTAATGGAATTTTCCAAAGCACCTAGGCACCTATCTACCATTGTTTCCAATGAAGCCTAAGCATTAGGCACCTAAATATCTTGCCCTTAATCTCTGTGCCCCTCTTCTAAATGGAAATAAAAACTAGCCCCTTTCTCTCTCCCATTGTCCTGTTGATTTAGCTTTTAAGCTCTTTAGAGCAGGACTGCCTCTTATGAAGAGGATCTACCATAGCGTGGTATCTTGGTATTACAGTATAGGATCAGGCCACCACCCTCCCTATGCCTCCTGGCTTTGAGACACAGGTGCAGGCTCTCTGCCTCAGTTTCTCCTACTGTGTGTGTCCACCCACTCTAGTGATGGATGGGGCTCAGCCCTCCAGTCAGATCACCATAAAAATTCATTCCCTAGCAGAGACTTGAGTCTCAGTTCAAAACACACATTCTAAAGGACTCTTTGCCCCAGATCGGAGTAATTCGCAGACCCTCTGGGATTATTTGTCCATCTGCCCTCTGGGTTTAGCTCTCCATCCCCATTCTGTCCTGTCAGATGGCATACCCTCTTCCGTGGCCTGGCTTACGACCATCAGCAGGTCCTAGGTCCATCCACGTAGTCCCCGTAAGGTCCTACCTTATCCCTGCAGGGAGGCTTGATCAGGCAGCAGATCTATTCGTCTCTGGATTCCTGCCCAGTTTCTCTTTCCACATGAGGGCCATTACTGTACATCTATTCCTAGCCAGCCTCCTTTTCAGCCTTTTCCTTCTGGCCTAACACCCACCACAGGGGTCCATAGGGGGTTTGCAAAGCCCATCATACTGCAGTACAAAGAAGAGGATATTTGCGCTCCCACAGCTACCCCTTACTTTACACCCTGCGGGCAGTCTCTTCAGCT